CAACTGTCTACTTGCACAAATCAATATCGCCTTTTTCGGCTGCAATATGGAGTGCTGTCTGACCGCAGCTATTAATTCACTAATATTAACGCCCCAATTTATCAGTATTTCCATTACATCGTATGAACACATTTTTGTCGCAATATGCAGCGCAGAAAAACCGCTAAAAAATCAAAAGATGTTCAATTATGCATATCTCAATATTAATAGTCTAAGAAAGATGGCCTTCATCAACGTTCACTTAAGAGAAAGCCATTCGTAGCGTGCTGTTATAAATATAGTTGAAAAAAATTAAAAAAGTTTGGAAGCCCATAGTGCCCCAACCAATGGAAAGAATCTCTCACTTAAAAACTCACTCTTTGTTCAGGACACCAGTAGGACAGCCGTTTTTCAGAAGCATTTCAGCAATTACTTTTCTTCTCTGATGAGTTGAGCCTGCAACTGCATGTAGTGGAGTCTCCTTCAGACAGGGATGCATATAATTAGGATTTCGATTGGCTAGTAGGTTCTTCAGCTGAAAATAAGCAAACTAATATGCAAATTAAGAATTCGATTCTAGTAGATCATATACTGCCCGAAACTACACAGGCCAATGGATTATAACCGAAAAGGTCCTTTTTGTCAATGGGAATTTCAACATCTCAAATTTCTGTGCCTACCCTTATAGTTCGTCATGACAAGGATCCCGAGAAACATTTTCTCATACGATTTAAAACTTACGAACCATAAGAATATCACCAATTTGTGCAGCCACATAAATTTTATAACCCGCATATTCATGAAGTACTTCTTTTTTAGCATCTTCATCAGTTATATATTCGATGGGTGCTTTTGCACTGCCAATTTTGCGCGTTGGATCCGCTCCACTAGCTGCCAGCAATCTCACCACCTAGGAATGATTGAAAATTTGACTTTTTAAGCACTCGCAAAATTCGAGGAATCAAAGTTCAAAAACTTTGAAGATGCAACTAACCAATTAAATTATATCTACAATTTGAAAGGCGTAAACAAACCTCGAGACGTCCTTTACTTGCAGACTCATGAAGTGGAGTAAAATTCCACAAATCTTCAGCTTGTGAATCAGCACCTGCTTCCAGCAATAAACTGACCACTTCCAAATGTCCAAATGAAGACGCATTATGAAGTGGTACTAAGCCTCTGAAATAATTATAAATTCTATAAAAGATGCGACTTCAGAAACACACAAATTTCTGAAGGAAAAAATGGAGTAGCCTTTGAGAAACAACAACGAACTTTCACTGTCAAGCGAAAACCTTAAAAATTTCATAAAGAACGTATTGCAAAGGTGTGCAGAACAGGAAGTCTTATATACTGAATTTGAAAAAAAGAAACAATAACATACCCAATATCTATAGCCTGAACATCGGCACCTTTTTCCAACAAGATTTTAACTGCTTTTACTCGATTATAACCACAAGCCAAATGTAAAGGCGTTGACTGGAGGAAATATAATGCATAGATAGATGGAAAATTAAATTCAATTTTAAGATCTTTGCTAATTTCAAAAAAGATTTATATTCTGATTTGCAAATCCCAGTTCTAACAAAGCACCAATAAATTATTATTAGTGTTTTATTAGAACTGGGATTTGCAAACAGCACCAATAAATCAGTCGACTTTTTTGTATTTATTTCTTTATAGTATTAAATTTTAACCTTTCGCCCAGTAGCTGCATGACAATTAACATTGAAGGGTGTTAAACAAGACAGTAAGCTTTCCTCATCTCCATTCTTTGCTGCTTCCAATAACTCGTCTTTTCTGTAGTCACCTATACAAAATTTGCTTTCAATTCTTCACATCTTTATCTTCACTAAATTTACAATTTCACTAACTAACAACCGCAGCAAATTACAATATCGGACCTGTAAAAACAGCTTTAGCATCACCGTCAGCTACGTCTTGCGGTGTCCTACCATCCAAATTTTCTATCCGTGCTGAAGCACCATGTTGCAGCAGAAGGACACAAACATCAGCCTGAAAACGGTTTTTGAGGTAATTCATCTTTGCTATGTGAAAAAAAAGAAAAAGGGAAAACTAAGCTATGTTAGAATTTTCCTTGTGGAATAAAAGGAAATGAAATAAAAAATCGCATCATATTTAAATTTATTAATCCGAAAAAGTAGTATTAAACTTCAATATCTTCCACAAAAAATTCATTAATCAAGGAAACATACTTTTCCCCATGTAGCTGCTTCATGAAGTGGTGTAAATCCCCAGTGATCGCTTACATTCGTGTCAGCACCATTTTCTAGCAAAATTTTAACCACGTCGATGTGGCCAAAAGAGGAAGCGTTATGTAACGGTACTAAACCACTATCATCGACCTGGCTTATATTTGCACCAGCTGCAAGCAACGCTCGAACACAATCTACTCTCCCGAAACCGGCTGCATAATGTAACGGCGATAAATGACGATTGTTCAGATCAGGCTGAGAAAAACAGACCATAGAAAAAATGGAAAATTTCAGTAATCCATATCAACTTCAAAGACTTTTTTAGGTATATACCAAATAAGAGAAAATAAAACAGTCACTGCCAGAAAAAACCTACTTTTTTAAGCTATTTGATGTTTTAAACTGGCTCACCACATGGGATTGAAATGACCTCTTATTGCTAACTAAGGAACAGCGGACTTTTTGTACTTCATATCTGCTTTTGTAGACATATCTATTATCTCATCTTCGCATACCTGATTTACTGTTCCAGGTTTAAGCAGTTCTGATACGACCGATAAATCACCTTTTTTACATGATTCAAACAGTTTTAAGCATTCTTCCTCATGATGTCGATCTGAAATTTATAGTTGAAGATCACAGTTCGAAAAATATGCAGATGACCGCAGAGTTTCCAGTTTTACACGCATTCATTATTGACCGCAGAGTTTCCAGTTTTACACGCATTCATTATTGACCGCAGAGTTTCCAGTTTTACACGCACTCATTATTGACAAGAACTAAAACCTCTTACTCATGAATCTCTCAATCCATTGCGGTCCAAACTTTTGGAAACAAGCATTTAGATATCAATTTATCATATTCTAGCGCGTTTTAAAACTCTACACTAAAAGGATGACGTCGTCCGATCTCATCTTTATATTCTTCGATTAGTCAATTTCAAAAGGACTGAATTATATGATATTCATTCACAAAATTTCAGCTTATATTTGCTTCACCAAGATGACCTGCGTGTAAAGCTTCAGAATGTGTACATAACAACTAACAAACTATCTTGTGGGATGTGTGAAACATGCACAACATCATCACTGACAACAGTATGGTTATAAGAATCGCTTAAGAGTAATAATTTACCGCGGTAGCTATTACACTTGACGGGTGCTGGAACTTGCGTGAATTGTCGCTGTTGCCATGCACGTTTGGACTTCATACACTACACTCCGATATTCCTTCCATATTCATACTGAAATTAAAATGCCTCACAAATCGAACGAGACAACCAAATCCTACTGACGAGTACCCATATCAAGACCTGGGCTGCATTAAATAATGCAAGATGTGTGCTTTCTTGACGAAAGAGGAGGAGGGCGTATTCTCTGGTAACAGTTGGAAATTTAAGCTCTTAAGAAAGTCAGTTACAAAACTGCACATGCTTACTGATTAACTCATGAGTTATACAAAACTGCACATGCTTACTGATTAACTCATGAGTTATCTCTGAATGTTACCTTCCCAGGATATCCCATATTTCGGATTTAAGCGAGTTTTGTGCAGCTTATACGACAGTTAAGACTGAATGCTTAAGTATTTGTTTCTTATTTTGATTGGCCATTCAATCATTTCGTATGACGATAAGTATATAAATAACAGTTAAAATTAAATTAAAACTCTCACTTGATATTCTTCGGGTTTTACGTATGTATATATTATGAAAAAAATAAAACAAACATTTAAAACTCATTGTGTATGGAAAATGATTACGAATGTGTGACACAATCAAATCTTTGTGGAGCGAAAAATAATGTGCTTCTCAGAATTGCAAATTATAATTGAAGCGAGAAATGAAGAAATGAAGATAAAGTGATAGGTTTGAAGGTCTGCTTATATCCAAAAAACATGTTGGCAATTAAGTTTTTCCTGAACAAAGAAGGTTAATCATGATATAATTTCAGATGCAGCTCAGCAAAATTAGGATAGGTTCTCTATGACAACTTATAAGTCAAGAACAATTTGGAAATAACGGAGAAATTAAGTTCACATTATTTGTGGTTGGGCATTCTAATACAGCTCTTCGTTTTTTGAAAAATTCTGACTGGATCTTGAGTTTCTTTATATATTGTTGCTTCCTTCGTCAATTCAAAAACTTTTTTGCAATTCACTTTGAGATTTATGGGTATAAGAAGCGAATTGTCAACAGGTCTATTAAAAATTCCGAAAGGCACAACTTAAAAAGGATTTTAAAAATAGGTTATAAATTTCTGAATTTTTTTAGAAAAAATTTAAAAAAAATTATGCGAAACATAATTAAAAATAGTAAATCATAATTAAATGACTTTTAGAGTTATTGGTTTTTGAACTCCTGCAGTGTTTGGAAAACATAGGACTGAAAATTCTCAGTCCCAAAAAATGAATTAGAGGATACGAGTTGCCGCTGGATTATAGGCAGTGTATGTTTCGCTGATCATTGTACATATGTTCGAGGAACTCTTCATCAAGAACTGAATTGCTTTCCACTTCCATAAATCATTTGCATTATAAAGAAGCTGTGCAGCTGTCATCAGTAGTGCTTTACACACCCGGATTTCAGTAAGATAATTTGTCATTGGATATTATTTTTATGAAACGAAAATTTTTTTATTGCGATTGAATTCAAGTACATGTGATTGCATGAATTAAATATGGAAGAGGGATTCCTCACATATATTGTGAGCGCTATTATATCCATATAAATGCAGCTAGTATAGGTGAATCATTCCAAAATTACGAAAAGGAGCCAAACCAGTGATACATAGGGTGCTGACACGTACTGTTAATAAATAGGCTACTTGCAACAATCTATAAATAGGCTATATAATGATGGGAAATCAGTTATGCATTCAGCACAGTGTGACTTACTGTACCTCTCTACCATTTAAAATGGCATAAAGTAATCAGAGAAATCAGTTTGAAGAGTTTCAAGCAAACCGGAAGAAATCGCATCACATTTAATGATGAAGCTAAAGCGGTTTATACATAACGAAGACCGTTCAGGTTCACAGTCTACTGTTATCTCTGGTTGAAATATAAGCATAAACACGGACATTACTATGAAAATCCTTAAAGATTATGTAAATAGATTATTTGCTTCCGCGCAGCAGGTATCAAGGATTATGGTCGGACCTAATCACTCATGCTCAATGCCAAATGATATCACTACTACAAGTATAACTGTTTTCTCTCAATGCTTGAAATGTTTCCTGGTATTGGTCGCGTAAGCTCTACCATTCTACGATTACGTAACACGGCTCTTTCAAACCTCTTACGAATTAGCGAATTCCTGGTCAAAGACCTACTATCCCTTCTTGTCTGGTCTCTTTACGAGAATCCAGGGAATCCTATTTTGGGTACTTCATAGACAGGACGATTCCTAACTTAAGAATTTTAGAAGTGCAGCGAATTTGACATAAACCGACATTTTTATGTCATCATGGATGCATCGCAAAGACTGTTGCAAAATCTGCAATTGGTTGAAGTTCAGTTCCTTGGAATACGCGTGCCAAAACAGTTATGTCCATTTGACTCTCCATTTGATTTTCGATCTGTGCAGAAAAAGAATACAAAAGCAGCATTCCACGAAATGAAATGTTTATTAATAGTAAATTATAACAGTATTTCATGCGTGATAAAAGTGTAAGGGAAAGAGAACAGAGATGAGATAATAGCGAAACTAATGTGTATCCCTTTCAAATTTAACCATATGTTGATATCAAAATACAGTAACCTACAGTAAATGCTTACGACGTTATAAATGAAATTTATAACTTATACGAGAAGACACCCAATCGTAAAATTGATATTATGCATAACAACCTACCTCTTAAAGCATGCTACTATAATTAATAGCACTAATTTCAATAGTGAGAGAAGGAAGTGGCTTGCTTCTACTATTCACTGTACTGAAACCATCTTAAGAAAAGCACTGAATAGTTCCTATACCGACGCTTTATCTCTGCTGAAACATGATTGAAATTCACTGATCCAAAAACGTACACACTGACTTTCACGACTATGCCGACCAAAAGTTTTAAGTATATATATCCGTCCTGATGTATCCAATACTGTAATCGACACTATTAAATGCATCGAAAAACAAAATTACAGCTCGTGATTTTTCAAATTCATCGTTCCCCAAGCAACCATGATCTTCACACCGTCTTAACTATCACCTGTGCCAAAAGCCCTGTGCCCGCTTTATAATAAAAAAGAAAATCAAAAAACTAATACTTCGGTTCAGCTCTCTCCTCATCCTTTTTTAGTAATAATCAAACACGAAAGATTCTAAAATAGAATTACTTAAGGATACCAATTAAGCATCAATAGCTGAGAAATTATTCCTTAACTTCCTATTACTCGCTAAATTTAAGGAAGATCCTCAGCTTTCCTCATACTAGTCCCGATTTCTGTAAACTCATAAATGAATAACTAGATGTGTAAAATGCATAGCTTAAGATTAAACAAAAAATTTGGGAACAATAATCGTAATGATTATATTCGACGTTCGATTAAAGAAGCATCAGGTAAAATGTTATATCTGAAAAAGGAAAACTGAAATTTTGAAGTTTGAGACTTGCTATGGAATCACAGAATGTCACACTTGCTCTTTTTCTTCTTTTTTTGCTGTAATGCTGCTTGCGTGGCCTTTTCAAACACTTCGCGGATACCCTAAACAAAAGTTTCTAATAAAGACTTTCTTTTCGAAAAAAAAGCGGTTGTTTTGCTTTCTGCAATCATATTTGTATTTCTTTATCCCAGTTCCACTCTAAATCCCTACATTTTAATAAATCTTAATTATATTCACTTCCCTTTCCTTCATTTCCGTTTTAGTTCAATTCATTCTTTGCATTTTCAATCGTTTTTCTTCAAAAATTGAAACAACCCTCTTTCTGCTGAAGACCTTATTGAAAGCCTCCAGGAAACTCGTAAACAAGTGGACATTTAACCGCTTAATTGCCTGGCACACAGAAAATTATTCCTCCAGACTGACAAATATAGAATACAGTTTTCTACATTTCCCATTATGTTGTTCTCGTCATTAAAGAAAACAATCCACTCTAAATCTAAGCAGATTTTACTTATTGTTTGTAATTTTTCCAAACTTTTTGATAGGTAGTTTCCAAATTAAGAAAAATGGTACAATTATTAAGTAGCTTCGCAGTGTTCTGCTTTCATCCCTTCTCCGAACAGAAAAAGAAAACATCTTTCGAATCCAACAAAACATACATCCTTCGCTTTGGCAGAGCATTCCAAATAGGCAAAGGCTCCTATTTGTTCGGCTATAGCACGTCCCTGCTCCGGTCTTACCGGTTCCTGTTTCATCTTTGCCAATTCACGAATAGTCTGCTGATCATTTCGAAGGTCTTTCTTGTTACCGACCAAAATTATTGGAACATTTGGACAGAAATGCCGCACCTGAATTCATTAGTGAAAGACAGGAACAGAGTGTGACATCCTTATTTTCTGTTTTTAATACGAGTTGCATTATTAGAACTTCTAATTATTAGGACTTTCTAAGGAGGCAATGAATAGCACCAGCAAAGTTCTAAAGTCTATATATGAAAAAACACTATGCAAAAAAAAATTTGAAAAAGAACCCTTAGGCCATTAATCTATATCTATATTTTAATGTGAAAGTACTTCAAGCAAATAAAGTGTATATTAAAAATGACTTGGAACTGACCTCAGGAGTCCACTTCTCGGGAATATTTTCAAGTGAATCAGGTGAATCGATACTAAAGCACATTAAAATAACATCAGTATCCGGATAACTGAGTGGGCGTAATCGATCGTAATCCTCTTGTCCCGCCGTATCCCACAAGGCCAATTCTACCTACAAATAATAAACAGGAATAAGAGAGATCATCACAATTTCTTATCGCATCCAATACTTCCAAAATCTTTTTGTTCACAATTTAAGCACACAGTAACACCGGATACTTTCACCAATGACAATCATTTGGTAAGTTTCCGAATAATAATTAGCCGATGCAACGAATATTTAAGCTTACCTTTTTATCCGCTTACCTGGCAAATATTTCACTGTTAAAAAAAGGAAGATGAAAAGTTCTAATGACTTATTTTTTTCTTTAAGCAAAGGTTGCAACAGTAAGTTCAGGGAATCCACAAGAAAAAAATGAAATTTCAAATTTCCTACAGAAACGTATATTTACAGTTAGGATCATGAATCACTGATCATTTATGATCCAGTGACACACTACACTGAAGAACAGAAAGAAAAAGTACAAAACATTACCTGCTTTCCATCAACTTCTATATCTGCAACATAATTTTCAAAAACTGTTGGCACATACACATCAGGAAATTGATCTTTACTAAATACAATCAGCAAACATGTTTTGCCTGAAAAAGATGCTTTTCTTTTCATAAAATTCTCACGTTTAGTCAAAATTTCCTTTTCTTCGCCCAAGTCAAACTAATTAGTCACTTGTAGTGGAAATGGCAATTTGTAAAAGCTTCACTATGATCTTATTTATCTCGCTGTTTTTTCCACTGACGAAACGATTTCGCTTTTCTCTATAACAAAAAAAAAGAAAAAATAAAGTGAAACAAAAAACACCAACCACAAGCACCATCACCAACAATAACCAGTTTCTTCCGGATAGCTGCCATAAGCGCAATGCCAGTTAAAGGCTACAGTTTCAATAAATCCTACAAATTTTTATTTTTTCTAATACTTAGTTTCCAACATAAAAACAGTGAGCAACTCGAGAAATCGTCATAAGTTCAGATAGTGTGATAGTATTAACTCCATCATCCCTTTCCAAAACTACTGCATATGATCCCTTTCCCTCTATGTGCTTTCTTCTTTCTTTTCAATATAGCTATCTTCCCAACTAAGGAAAAAAACGTCCTAAAAAAAGATGGATAAAAAACGTCTGTTCGGCCATTGTAGGCTAATTTTTGGGAAAGCAGGACCTCGCTGTTTTATTTATGATTTGTCGCCGGCTAATCATTACTATCTGAGTGCAGTGTTGCCTCTGGACTCTTCATCGATCTCTATCTTCCATCACACATCACACCTTTACCCTTCCATTGCTCACATCACATACACGCAGCAAGATTTTGCAAACACAAACAAAATGATATACTGCAATTGATGTCAACTAAACTTTATCCTTCCAATCAATTAGATTATCCTTTTTCTTTTCGATCATTGAAGAATATGTTCATGTGCGTGTGCGCTGTTTTTATCTACAGAGAAGCGGTAGTGCTGCTTTACCCCCACTGATACTGCTGCCACTATTATTGCTCTTGTTACCTGATGTAACTTCGGCAGAATAAAATGCATTACTGAAGCGATGATTCGACTGGTACAACTTCTCAAAAATTCCCTTTAATTGGGAACCAGACGAAGATTATTATCGCAACAATGAAGGATATGAGTTATTCCTTAATTTACGGGAGTCTGATACAGATGATTTTGGACAGGCAAACAAAATGGTTTTTTTTTTTATTTCCAGAAATCATCTGATCATTTTTTTTGGATAGTGGCTTGAAAATATCCACAAAATGTTTAATTTGGCCATTAGGTTGTGAATGGAAAGATGGTCATGCGATATGCCTGAAGTGTTGAACAAACGGAAATGGTGGAATTTAGCAGAAGTGAACTGAATACAACTGACAGTAAGAAGGATTGCTGGCAGAACGAAAACTTCGTTCAGAAGGCGAAGGGTTATTGCTGCAGTGATTTTGTCATTGACCAAGATTAACGCGATTTGGGAAAGTGATACGGAAATATTCCGTATTAGTGATGTGAAGGTGTGACCAAAAGCATTCAGCTTACAGTAAGAAAAAAATTTCGTTTTGTGAGAAAATTTGATCGCTAACTGAATTGATGATAATTCAAACAAGATTTTCGATATTGGTTTCGAGAATGGTTGTTAGCTGCTTTTTTTGACAGTTCCAGTACGCTCATCCACTTCCAATCTTCATTCGACTGGTAGTGAATAAACGTGCTTGAGGTTGTCGAAGGCTAAAGCGCTATACATCAGGCAATTACTGAAAGATTAAGAGTTGGTGGTAGTTTTTGCCTACTTCCACTGCTATTTGATGAAAAAAAAATTATTTCGCTGATGAATTTCAACTATATTAACTGAAAAGAATCAGTGTATACATAAAAGAATTTGTTGGACATCGGCTTGAATCTCATTATCGGCAATGCCTTCATCAAGCGCTTCGTGATTCTTTTACGAATGGAAGGAGTGGAATACTGACTTGTTACAGTACTCAGCGCTGAAACAGTAACGAAGAATGGTGGACCAACGTTGAAGTTTAGCAGTGTGGACGATAACATCGATGTTCGGATATTACACGTACGAGTTTTAAGTCATTCAAGATAAATTTCCGAGATCCGGATCATGATACGCAAGTGAGAGATCGGATTGAAAGTAGTTTCGATTTTAGTGAAGGCCACTTCGCAATGTTTAGATCTAAATGAAACTAATATTTTAATGCGGAATAATGTTGAAAAGTCCCTTCACATGGACAAAACTAAGGAAGGTGAGGTAGGTTTAAATACATTGGTATTGGTTGGTTCGGGATCACGGCTGGATTAAGTCTTCCTATTTTGTGAAAATTTGGAAAACAAAGCTTAGAATTTTAATAACAGTTTAAATATGAAATCACCAAGATAAACAACGTTACTCGAGGCTCCGGACACACGGAAACGACTATTTGTTGAAAAGTTCTAAAGTTTTCCGAATGATAACCAGTGGTAGGGATAAGGTTCTATGTAGTTTCGATGATGAGCAATTCATTGCATTTTTCGGAAAGCCCTATATTAAGGCGGGAAAGTAAACTGTGGGTGAGTTAAAATATCGTACCATTACACACCGTGTGGAAATGCAAGGAAATGTTGGTGTACTTCGAACGCTTCAGTGATGCCAACATCTGTAAAATTTGAAGAGATATGTATTCACTACTGCAGCGGCTGGAGTTTCTCATAAAAGTAGCTGACTTTGAAAACGAATCTATCCGGTTCGGTTTCTACTACAAAAACGCAGGGATAAAAGATCAGACGTTTCGCATAGAAAACAAATAATGCATCTAACGCGAGGTGGCAACTTGTTTTGGAACGCTTGGAACAGTCAGATCTTAATGTTTCCAATAGTTAAGGAATAGGAGCTGAAAAACTTTCCACATTAGAAGCGTTCAAGATAGCTCTAAATTTCCCAAGATCTGCTGAATTGATTAGTTGAAAATGAACAGCATGTGACTGGTAAAGACACTGGATTAAACTTTTCAGTGCGTTTAAGTTTACATCTATCCATAAAGCTAAGGCGAAGTTCTCTTCACTGATTTGGTTGAGGACTGAAGGCAGCGGCAATATTGGAGGATCAGTGCGAAGAATTAAACAATTATATACAGAAACCAAATGGGACTAGTGGTATGAAATTGGAAATTATGAAACAGTATGTGTCAGACATTTATCGACAACTTCCCGGAATAAAACATTTGCCGTGTGTCTGGAATAGGGACTGATTTGGAATACGGAAGGGAAGAATAACATAAAACTGGCGTAAAAGAAGAAATGGTAAAAACACTACAATGTGTTAGCCTAACAAATCGAGCTACTCTTTTCAAATTCTTCCTTCCCGATATGCTCCAGTCAAACAGAATTTGTAGCTAAATGATAAAACATGCCATCTTCCCAAATTTGCCGGCACTCCGCAGGTAACAACTGTAATATGCAAACACTGCAAACTCCTAACAGAAAACTAAGCTCTACTCAACAGAGGCTGCCCCCCCCCCTCCTCCCCCCCGACAACAAAATGCCAACTCCTCCTGCATTTCGCTTAATCATGCGTCTAACACCAACGCGTCCCACGTCCAGCCGCAATATGCAACAGTGACGTTTCACCCGACCTATCCACCTATCCGACATGCTCTTTTCTGAGAGAAATGACGAATGATTCTACTTAACTTTGGTGGGATTATTTGTTCTTCTCTGGACTTATGTGTTCAGATTCCATTGCAATCCACGCCACAGTCAAGCTGAGACAACTTTCTTTCTTTTGCAGTGTGGGAGTGACAGAAATACGATAGTTTATTTTAATTGTAATTTTTAAGAATATCTCTCGGACAGTTTGATTTTTTCCTTTTCCTTTTTATTCAGAATGGAACTGCGACTTCTCGACAGGTTGTATTTCAATTTCGAACGTCAGAATTTCCATGGGCAGTAAATTGACCGACAATTCTGAAATATGTTTTGTTTCAAACTCTGATTTTAAAAAAGTCAAATTATGAGGAAGATGCATTGGAAATTTTTTCCAAAAGTTAACAGATTAGTATATCTCTTCACTTCCTCGCGCAACAAAATGTCTATTCGGATGAGGAGAAATTATAAACGTTAAAAAAAGTGAAAAACGGAATTGACAAGTATGTTGAAGGGCACAAAATTCCAACTTATTAATACGAAATATTGTTTCTGGAATATCGTAAATAATCGATTTAAATTTGAAGGAAGAACGGAATCAGCCCAGAAGTATATCAGTGAAATCTATTTCTCTTTCGAAAATTTTGCATGTCAAGTAAAAGAAAAGGACAAATAAAATTTCCACCTTTTTGGATGATCCTTGGAGAACTCTGATTCGGTCTGAATGGATTGTTTTGTGTGAACTTTTTGAAGGTTTTTTTTCTCATCGTTGCAAGATTAAGTTCCTCTATCGAAAGAATATCGAATGCGGTAAATAAGCCCTGTGATGGTAGAAGGTACATAATGACAGAAGGTTCAAAGAAATTGAGAATGAATGAAAAGCTGTGATGACTGGAGACAGGGCTAATGAGGTCAAAGTTTCCCGTGCTCGATATGCAGCTATGCAATCTTTTGAAGCTAAATTTTCATTGTATTATCTTTGTTTTTTGATTTGTAGTAGAGGAAAAAAAACTGCTTACATTCAGGTCAACTTCGATGGGTTGCGCTAAATTTTTATCCTCATCACCTTGGAAAATATGCTCGAGACGAATGATGATACGTTTTGGAGCCAACATTTCCATGGTCAGAACATTGATAGGCAGTGGAAGCGGCCGATTCAGAGCAGAATACTAGAAAATAAGGGGTAGTCCTAGTGTGGAATATCAATTTATAGAAATTTACTGAAAACAAATCAGATTTGTTTCTTTCATTTCAGTGTTTGCTGGTATCCTCATTTCACAAATTAAAAACTAATAGAAGTTGGAGGAAAAGATGAAAAAACATGATTTACTTATTCATCAAACAAACAACCTTAGTAATAAATGCTCGACCATAATCCCACGGTGCCATTTTGCGCTCCGCGAACGTCATTAACGGCGAATTATAAAATTCAAGAGCAAGTGGTCTGTGGAGTTTTGCCGATTGTCCGGGACTTTCCATTATGATCCAGTGTCGTCCTCGAACAACCAACCCTTGTCCAGTATCACCTAATTCATTCAGTGCCTCACCGACACCGAAATTGTCATCATAAAATAATCTACGATGAAGCTGGAAACAAATTTTCGACTCACTCCGATATTTTACTGCTGAAAATTCTCACTTAGCCATACGCATTCGAAAATTGAATAGATACAAGACAAATTTGTATACGAAGAATTTATATATAATACCATTAATTCAATTTGTCCATCATTCAAGCTGGTACCACCATGAGAGCGATCCGTAAGTACGGTTAACTGATTTAACGAATCTCGAATATAAATACGACTATTTACAGGATAGTAGTTCCCTGCTATCGGTTCGGTGTTGATGTATGAGAATGATGGATAACGGTTTCTGCTAAAAGAAAGTTCAGAAAGATTCATATCCATATAGATCAAATTGTGAAACGACATGAAGTAAGTTGCTGGAATACTCCAGGTGACAAATGCATATTGCACTTTTTCTTTCGACAAAGTTAGGAAAATAAAAATATGAACTACAAGCATGCAATTTGGCAAAGTTAACCTGTCACTGCAGGAGTGTACTTACGTTCTTTTCATTATTTGCCTTCCGTTTGAATCGGTATAAAATACTCCTGCCGAATTTATGTCCGTTGTGTATCGTGTAATTATTTCTTTTGTTACTGGATTTCTAAATCAGAAAACAACAAACGGGCAAATTCGAAATTTGCAAAGAACATTCAAAAATTCAAATCGAATTCAATCAAATCACACTCCAAGGAGAATATCGTTCTTCGGAGACGGGGAAAAGAAGTCATACTATGCTTATTTTTACTTTGTTGTCATCAAAAAGATATTATTTGTTTTCCTTTTTTCAAAGGCATTTGGAAAGATATTCACATTTGTTTTCGATAAAAATCGAATTTTATGCATACTCGAGCTCTTTTGGTATCGGCCCAATAGTCCATTCAAATTCCACTAAATTCTTGCCACGATATAAGCGAATCACTTGACTGACCCATGGAGCAATGATCTGCCTTGTCTCATTTATCAATGAACCCTATAAATTGAGTAAAACCTCCTGTCGCCTATCTTTCGTCGGCTTCTGGTATTACCAGATTACCAGATTTAAGTTCCCAGACAGATAATAACTGAAATGTATATTGTGGAACATACCTCAATATACTGCACCGTCGTAATATTTGATATCTGTTCCGCCTGAGTACCGTTCGGTCGGAAAACATAAGCTCCCGATGATTGATTCCTATAGTTTGAGAAACCCATTCCTCTATAAACAAGAAATTCTTGCTTGAATGCAATGGTTTTCCCGGTTTTCCGATCCTTTAATGACATCAACTGTCCAGTGTTATCGAATGTGAGCTCGATGTACTATAAATTCATATTAATGTTACAATTTATGCAGAAAAAAGTGATGAAATCTTTTTTATATCTGAAAAGGTTTCGAATTTTAGCTTTTATCTTTTAAATTGCTAGAAAATACGATAAACAAATTTATGACCAATTGATTTTCACATCTACTCAGTGTCACTTATCCATTCCACTTTTTTGCTAATCTACTTCGAATTAATTACGAAGAATTTGGCAAGTTGCCTCATTTGTCATTACGGTTGTATTGATTTTCTTAGATTCTTTTTTGCTTGCTTTTTGTACAGAGCGGTGCCTCGCATATTCGACCATTTTTGTGGCCCTAAAATTTATATTCCGCAAAAATTAAAGACGAAATGATATTGCAATGTTAAGAGTTATCATATTTCAGCAGAAAATATTCTCAATTCTAATAAGGAACGACACAAACGTCTGATTAGATAGAAAAAACGTTGTAAAGCCAAGCGCAGGTACATTTGCCGGAATAAGCAATTCATAAGGAGCACTTAACGGTTTCTTGAGTTGTGCACCATTGTAAAATGCTTTATTGATCTGGAAATTGATCGAAGCATATCTTTTTACTAATTGCATTTCAAAAATTCAAGCTCCTCCCTTCTTCAACTATCTACTAGAAACTTTTATGTGGAATATTTAACTATTTTCGTCGACGAGCAACCGAAAATTTAACTACTATGGTAGACTAAACTAGATTATACAGTAAGCTTATTTCAGAATGACACGTACGAGCGGTTTAGGTGTCCCAGGAAGAGTTAACGACTGGAAAGTAATATGGATCTTTAGCAATATTCTGCTTTTAATTAAAAAAAAAAAGCTTTACCCTTTATACACTTATCCCGTGAATTTCGGTTACTTAACCAATCCTTGGGATGTTTGTTATCCACAGAAACTGTTCAGAAATTTCATTTAATTCCAGTTCGAATGCAAGTTGACTGATTTTTTATTTAAATGCATCAATCTTACTTGTAATAATTTGCATTTTGCATTCATAAGAACAAACCTGGACGTTAACTGGTTTTCCGTCGAATGACCAAACAATAGCTGATAGCGAATAGAACGGAATCCGTAATACAGTACTCAACGGATGAGAATTTGAATTATATACAACAATAGTTTCGTTACCATACAATCGAAAAAAATTAAAGGAAAGATCAAAGAGGCAGAGGTATTCTTCCCGACATTACGACAAAATTACTAAATGGCGAATACAAGTAAAGTTAGCAAAAAAGAATGGTGTACAAACATATTGCCGATCCCGCATCTGAATATCGTGAATCATTTAATGCTACTAGAAGTTCCTGAACCTTTTCGGGAGCATTGATTTATTATTGTTTTAAACAATGACCTTTATTTCTTTTCGGTTAACAAGTATTCCAATATCCACTGGTCAAGCTTTTTTTTGCAAAGGGTAATGGGTAAAAAGTACGGAATATAAGAACTAAAAGTAGGGAAGGTACAACAATAATGAAAGAAGAAACCTGGTTGAATTGCATATGGTTACGTTGATATCACGGCAAATGACTTGTTTCTCAGGAATCATTCCTTTGATTTTTTGAATTAATTTCATAAATACATTGTTAATAGTAGCCTGGAAATAGAAAAAGTGTGATATATCGGCGATATTTTTTACTTTTAAAATTACGAATATGAAAATTGCTATCGGATATTTTTCATAACATTGTAATCATTATTGTTCTGCCACTGAAACTTTTGCAAATATGTTAGCATTAAAGCTAGATTTTTTCACCGGAACTGTTTTTGTCGATCATTGCTTCGCATTCCTCTTAATTTTATTAACAACAACAACAAAAATATTGCACAAACTATTAGTACTTCAGCTTCGTCCCAACCTCGAGAAAGGCGAAGTTCGTAATCTCTGGTGACATTTTCCCGTGCTGTACCACTGAAATGAAAGCTTAGAATAAAATGAAAATTGTGAATTTATTGTGATGCCCCATTTGCAGCATCTTATCATGGCATGAGCATAAATTTATGTAAAAGTGATTCAAGCCAATTGACCATGAGAACCAGAAGCTTCCATTTTTAGCATTATTCATCAGTTAAATGAACAGACTCGTGCTTGCATACTAAAAGAAATGAGATTTGGAATTTTACCGAAGTGTGTTCATTTTTCGCCAAATATAGAAAGAGTCTTTCTTTTTGAGATCTAGATCGGATCGCAAAGGAAAAGTAAACGTTAGGAGAAGCAAAAGTATTACGTAACAGCATCATGATGTTGCACAAGTGCTACGGTATTACGCAGTATTCTGTTATTTGTCATTTCCATTGAAAATGCTTGAAGTTGCTTAACGAGCTGTAATAATGTGATCTTCTGTCATTTGTGTAGTAAAGCAAGTAATGAGTAGAATTAAATCTTTTATAAGTGGATGAATAAATTACTTTTCCACTTCCCCTTGAACAGAAAATAAAACATTTGGAAATTGCGGAAATTTTCCTTTTTTTTTCACTCGAAGGAGATCTATCTACATCATTTGCGCTCTAAATTTATTCAAACCTGTTAACTTGGAATTTGAACAACCAAATATGTACCTGTAACAATGCACTACTCTGCCGAATAAAGCCTTTAAATGAGGGCCTACTGGTAAAGAAACCAGTCCAGTAGCTATGATCGCCGGATGCATAGGGAAAAAAATCATCCAATTTCCTCGGTAATCTTGGATGCGTTTCTTTTAGTGCCATCAGATAACACGAAGGTGTTGAATAAAAGATATTAATTTTTGCGCTCAAAGTCTAAAAAGATATTGTAACCGAAAATTTTCTCATGATTTAACCCGAGCTGTTCAAACAAATCCAAATAATTTTGCAAGATATACTTTATTTTTTCGAACAACTGAAATGAGTTTATCGAGATTGGTATACCACTGATTCGCCGCCGTATATTGAAAATCGCCTCCCATTAAAAGCATCAAATGATTGGTTCGTTGATGCAAAGCCTAAAAGAGAAACGATTCAGAAAGTTTCGCATTTACACAAATCTGGCACATAGATATTATAATTGTCCAAATAAAACTGAAATAACTAAAATCCATTTTTTTATTATGGAATATATGCAACAATGATAAACCTGTCTTTTAACATCTTCAATGAATTCATCCACACGTTGGACAGCATTGTATTCTTCCAAATAAGCTTCATCCATAATCGGTTCGTCCAGGCATTCGCGATCAAAACAGAATCCTGGTGGTGGGCCATAACTGTCCCAGTAAAATGCACCTGTTATGATGTTCGTTTCTGAAGTGTTTTTTTCAATCATTTACACATCTTTGAGATATTACTTTTATCCGTTATACAAATATTAAAAAATAATTCTTACTGAGATCATCGGAACTATCCCAAACAAATTCAAGACTAGAATTCCGCACACGAACTTCTTTTTCTAAGAAATGAAGACGAGAAAAGAAAAGAGCTTCGAAATCCATCTGCAAAAAATCGGTACGAATTAGTTTGCTTTTTATTTTAATTTTATTTATTAATTGACCATTTTATATTCTCTCTTCTATACTTCTGCTTTTACCTTCATTCCCCATCTTTCGTCACTTTTTTAGATTTGAATTTTTTTCCAGTGTTCTTTTTCCCGTGTCTCAGTCTTCCTTTTGAGTATTTATAGGTTCAAACAATCTGATATTTTCAAGAAAATGTCCTACACTTTTAAAAATTTCGCCGCAAGAAACTAATACTCAAAAAGATCAGTTGTCGCCAAAACCTGTAAAAATTATTTAAAAATTCGATTTTCGACTAAAAAAAAACTAACCATTGCCAGCAAATTAGCCATTTCTCGACTATGACCAAAAGGGTCAATTTGCCATGCAACACGGGGAATTCCGCATTCGCCAAAATACTTTTTTAAAGTCCTCAGACCGAGTGTCATTTGATCAATAATATCAACGTAATAAGTTACGGCTTCATCGTTTTGCACCCAACCACCACCAATAAATTCGATTTGACCCAAAAGTTAATAATTTATTGTAAGTTCCATCTGACCTTTTAGTCTTTCACTTGCACTTACATGAGACGCTTACCTTTCTGGACAAGTTTTTCCAGTCGCTTCCTTTGCTTGTAATCAACGAGCCAACGCCATAGAAATGACGTCTCACACCACGCAAAACGCCTGTTTTCATCCTTTTCCAGTTCGTCCATTACAGTATTAAGAATATATTGCACGCCAGTCGCTGTCTTTTCTTTCTGAGCTGCAAATGACTTTTCACTTCTAATTGTTTTCAATTTTTAAGTTGAAGATAATTTCGAATTTGATCCAACCAATCAATAACCCACATCCATAATAGTACTGGTCAATAGTTTTAATCCAGCCTGGATCGTCATGCGTATGACAGATTAGATGGATATTCAACACATCTTTTTCTCCACTCCAACCATTACATTTCTAGAATTATAGCTCATTTTAGAGTTTATTTTAAAATTTCGTCCTATTCAAGCAGTCTTTCAACAGTCGTCGGCCGATTCATCGATGAAATCTAAATGATAGTAATACTGAAACCTGAATGATAGTTACTCTAAATCTAGAAAGTCAATCACAATCATTTCGCTAAATATAATGTGGTTCTGTTGGAAACCTCTTGCAACACTGATCGCTTACATGGAAGAGATAACTAACAATTATGCTTCAATTAACTTCCACCACTGTGATCTGTAAAATTTAAACATAAAATTTTACATACATTCCAACTGCATGAATCATCTTGAACATCCTGAGCACGACAATATCTCAACAAATCCATTCGAAAAATCAATATAAAAAACAGCAGAAGCAATGACATCTCTTTCATGATTCCTCAACAACTGCCGGATTATGAAAACAATAGGCATTAAAATTACTGATCGTCATCTTACATCAGGTATTTAATACCGAATTCGCGACAATTGCACGATGCTTGGAATGAATGATGACTGTCTTTTTAAGACATTTTCACAGTATTTTGAAATTATTTCTTGAAAATTCCATAGGAATATAAAATGCGCCTTAATATCAAAACAGTTTTATTTGTTATTTTAAAAAGAGGTAAGAAGGAACTGATATTAAACAAATAAAGAGAAACGAAAACTTTTGTTGAAAGAGCAGTTAGAGTGATATGAATACACAAACAGTATACAGAAGTAAAAGGATTAACCTCGTCCGGATTATAAATGGCTCTCTATCTTCCAGTAATAAACTTAACAAATTCCTGTTAAATGAATATTAGCATTTTTGATTACTGCAAGTATTTTAAGCTCTCTTCGAGAACGGAAATAAATCGAATTTCGAAGGAATTGTTTACATTGGAAAGTGAATAGTTTACATGCGTCAGCAAAACCCCGCTATTTCACAGGGTTATATCGAAATGAGTCATAAAAGAAGTGATTATCTATCAACCCGCACTGTCACTATTACGTAAACTATTTGCCAATTCAAAGTGAATCTCACTTTCCATTTGCAAATGCTAATCATCTGAATGCTCAGCTGTCATATCGATTGAAGGAGGATGGAAATGAAGGTCAGCCTCTCTAAAGTTTGTGCCCTTGATTCCTACTCAATCTCACCAAAACATTCATTAATTACAATAAATCACAGAACTGTTTCCTGAATACTTCTTCAATGCCAGAAATTCTAATAGTTATCAGTAAAATACAGTAATGTAGCGAATGAGATCACTCCTACTAAAGTCAATCGTGCCCCTATGAAAGTCTGCCAAGTTTTAACAGCTGTTGGCAGACCCCATAAGGTCTGCAAGAGGTCGAAAGTCCTTCTCTATCATCCTCAATCTGAATAGCTTTAGATCTAGGGTTGAGAATGAATACAGAGAAGCAATTCAAGCTTCTTTTTACAGCACATTATAATTGCTCTTTTAACATTACTCTTATCACTATTATTATCATTACTACAACCACCAAATTTCAATGGGAATGACTGAAGAAAAATTTATCTTATTGTTTCTTCAATCTCGTCGTAGAGGACGAAAAATCCAGTCCAAAGCCATGAAAATTTGACACCTTATTTTTACCTCATTTTTTCTTCTCCCATCATTCCCATCAAACTATATGGTGGCCTGTTAACCTAAATCATGAAAAAAAAGCCAAGACCGGTGCTAATGTCCTGCAATGATGGTGTTCATATTATTTCTTACTAGTTACACAAACCTTTTGCCTGTTTACGAATGGTAAGGGCTATGGGAAATCATTTTTATTTTCAATGACGAGGCGTTCTCCTCCTCTTCCTCCTCTTCCTCCTCCTCCTCCTCCTCCTTTTTCTTCTCTTATCAAAACAGTTCTTTCCTTTATTGCTATTAGATAGAAATATAGAGCTACCCCCGTGTATTTGAGGCTATTTTCTGCGTTATCGCTGTTGGTGTCCAAATGCACCGATGAGGCGCTATTGGAAACTGCTCTATGGATCGATGACAAACTTCTAATTTCTGATTCTGATTGCATGAGTTATTAACTCTTCGTAGATTTTATTTCAAATTTCGTTTCAATTTTACAATATTCCAATGTAACAATTTATTTTTGTCTGTTTCTTCTTCGTCATAATCCGATGACAACAGCAGTACTGACGATGAGGATAACGATTCGATTCAAATAATGATTTGGAGAGAATTACACATTTCTAATTACAGATCTCGTGCATTTCCTTCCAGTGCGCTAATGGAAGATGAATCATTCCATCAAAACAGAGATATATATAGGTAGCAGCTAGCTGTATGTAACAAAATGTACCTACCCTGTCAGCATTGATCGATACATTCATATAGTTCTGTTGTTAGCTATTATTCTCTTCCAGCTTTCCAAGCAATGATTTCCGTTAAACACCTAATGGTATCGCTTTTGATGGTTATGGCGTTTTCAGTCTTGAGTGATCATTCGAGCCCAATGCAAAGTCCATACGTTTATCTTTCTTATTATAGTGCAAGAGATGAGGCCTGATTACTTATGGATGGATCGAGCGAAGATCCATTCTCAACTATTTAACCAGCTAATTAAATAATTACACAACTGGTCTTTTGAATATAGTGCAGTTAAGCATATGCTTTATATCATAACTGCTAAAATTCGACCTGAAATGGCTGATTTCGAGTGCCGTTTCACATTTGAAAGTGTTGTGATGTATAGATGTATGAGAGTTTTTTTCCTCAAAGTAGACAAATGTTTTTACATCAAAACTGGAGTGTCATTTTTGGCTGATGATTCATCTGCTTTCTGCTTTTTTCTTCAGCAACAATTCACCACTGACAGTCATTCCATGTAAATAGTCCGGAGAGTTTAACTGAAGAATAGCTGAAAAATCCTGGAAGAACTATCAATTGCACACATATCCGTCGGTGAAAAGTTTATGTTAGTCTTTGTCAACCGGAACGATTCGTCCAGACTTCCCGGAAAGCTATAAATCGGTTACATATTTTTTCTAAGTATTGTCTCTAGCGAGACCTTTGTTGTGCTGCAGATTTCTGAATTAACTTTTGCCAAATGGTGGTCATACATATGATCCTGATATTATGAGATCAAAGGGATCAAGAGAAGGTTAGATAGTGTCTCTAAGGGTTAGCTCTCTGATTTCTGAGATTGCAAGTCGGATTCCTTTCAAGCTAAGGCTGCATCTATGTAGCAGGACTATTGCTTTTTTTTATTTTTAGGTAAGGCTCGAAATTGTTATACTGAGTAGTGAGTTATAATAATTTGCAAATGTTTTTTGTTTTATTTCTGTTTTACGAAAGGGAGCGTTTTCATCTTGAAATTTCAAGCATTTAAAGAAGTTTGGAAAAGGAAAAGTTTTTGTTTTGCAAAAGATGTCTCTTTGAAAAGAATAGATGTAATTGTGATTTTCACCAAAATCGTTATCCGATACTCTTTTAGAATCACTGATTGCAAAAATAGAGTACTTCATGCATTTAATTATGTAAGACATTGCTTGCTTAATTTGTTTTTTTTGTCCACTCTTCCGAGTAACACTGGTCGGTAGTATTTGAAGTGGTACGCCAAGGAACTAAAGCCCAAACATGCAAACCACAAAGGGTGATTAATGAGTATTGGTAATTATGACGAGCATAATAGTGCAGACGAGAGCATGTCAACCTCTTGCTATGTCTTCAGTTTGATAATTCTGTCATTCTTTCAGCGATTGAACTTTTTATAGTTGGGAGCAAAAATTGCTCGTAGAATTTACCTCCAACATCAGATCATTCTAACCGTTGATAATTTTAAATTGTCCTGAGCAAACAATGCTTTAAGACATTATTGCTGTCCAATTTGCTAAGGCATTGCTTAGAATAGGATAGGACAATCTCTGTGAAAAATGCTGAAAAAGTGCTATAATTAAGTTTCAGGAAAGTAATTAAGAATGGAAGAGTTGAGCAATGGACCACAGTTGAGTTTCTGACTACATTTTCTGAAATATGAAGAGATACTTGCTGTTTCTTGTTTTACTCTTCCAAGTAGTAATGTCAACATAAAACATAAAATATAAGTGATATGAAGAAAGAAAAGTTGTTTAGAACGTAAATGAGGAAGTGGAAGTAATCGATACGCCATCTGTGGACCTCATATTCAGTGATACATCTACACCTCATTTATTCTAATTACTAACAATTGCCTGGAATTGTTGTTTGGCTATTGTCATTACCTGTTTCAAACACTCCACAACTTTGTTTACAATCACACCTTCCATTGTCTTCCTTTCTTTTTTCAGAAATTATTGTCGAATCAAGCACAAACATCAGCAACATGTTTAGTTTTCTTTAATTTAATATCCGAAATTAAGCGTGGATTCTTTGCAGTTCGTATATTGTACGGAGAGGAAGTGAGAAGTCCTGGTAAAGTTTAAAGAAATTCTGATTTCACTCTTCTATGCTGAAATATATCCTGGAATCCGGAAAATTGGGAAGAGTAAGGGTTAGAAAGTAACTGAAAGAAAGAAATGAAATGAAATGAAGATGAATGTGAATGTTGGTCGAATATTTGGCATAGAACTGACTTCTGCCTGCCATTTTCTAATAACAACTTTGAGAATATTACACGTTTATCTCCTTTTCAGATGGGATAGTGTCAATCGATTTCTATTAGTTTTTCCTGCTTAATGAGTATCATTCCGAATGATTGTATTCATTGTTAAATGTTAAAGGCTTAAACCTCTTCCATACAACTCTCAATTTTGCTCTCCACGTGCTGAAATGTTGTAAACCCTTTAAAAACGTCTTGATTTTTTCAATTTGGTTGAAATTCTTCTTCACTATTTCATCTTTCATCCGAATCAAGATTTTATTCTGATCATAAAAAGTCATCTTGCAACTTCTTGAAACTTTTCAATTCTCGTTAAGCTTATTTTTAAAATAGATTTTAACAATGTGCATTTGGCCAGATGAAGTTTTACTGCTGTATAATGAAATTTTGTTAGTCTTGAAAAAATAAGGTTGCATTAATTTCTCAGGTAAAAAGGTGTCTTTTCAAAACTTCATAAACCAATCACAAAAACTCTAAAAGTTTTGGCAACTGATAGTGACCTTGTTGTTTACTGATTTAATTAGTGATAACGATATTGCTACGTAACAATTTAATGACAAAGAAACTGTTACTCAGTAAGTTTTCATTTGCATGAAATGACAAGTTAAAATATAATGAATGCACGCCTTTAATTGAAAGAATTTTTCTTTTTCTCTTTGAATGCATTCAAAATCGTAACTAACAAAATAACCAACTGAGAATGTTCACTTCAAGAATTTTCTTTTTATTATTCCACTCAAATAAAGGGGACATTTCTCCTTAAATTGACAAAAAGTGGAGCCAAGGAAATGTTATACATCGGTCAGTATAAACAATAGCTGCACATAAGCTACGAACTCATCAACTTGTATTGGTGATGGTTGACAATACCAATGAATCTCTTGGTAAATCGTGGCTTACCAATCTGAAGATTCAACCGATGATATCTAACTTGAAAACTGTTTATCACTGAAATGTTATGCACTTATGAAAGTTACTCTGTTCTCTACAAGCAGTCTTCCTCTTCGAATCATCGGAGTTTAGGAGCAGTCATCAATGCAATACCATCCAAAGGAGTGAGTGATAAGAGATTATGTTACTTATAGGAGATATGAATTTCTTCTCTTTCCGGTTCTTACTCGTTATCAGCACTTGACTTTGTCACTCTTTCCAATTTCAACTGCGCAGTCATTGGTTGTTTTTTCCTCTGCATGTTTTTATATTGTTGCCATATTTCTGGTATGTCGCAATGAGGTATTAGCATCTCCTTTTTTTTGTTTATTGTTGCTTCAATGACATCATCAAGACTTGTTATTGGGACTGGTGTTGTTAACGTGAAGGTATTTAGTTCCTGGTTAGATGTCGAACACATGCTAATTTACAAATTTCAATTTCCTAAGATTTTCAATTTTTCGATTTTGTCCTTTTTTCACTTGCTATCTTCTAGTAGTGTGATGTCATGTCTGGAAAATATATAAAGAATATGAGATGTTCGGAAATGATTTTCAAATTTAAAAAGTCATGAAAACATTCGTAGTATTACCAAAAAACAAAGTTTAATGTTGACAAATTTTAGATCTCGGATTTCACGCTAAACTAGCTAACATTAACAACTGCAAGAAAAATGGGCGACATCAGTCTGAACACTCGCTATCTGAGCAGCAATCGCGGTATTATCAAAATTGTGCAAATTGTCCTCGGTTTCATCGTCTGTTCTCTCCTTTGCACTTCATGGTAGTTTATGCGAATTATTCAAATTCCATTTAACGGTGACTAATACAAAATTTAACAGTGAATTTAATAATTAAAAAAAGAGAATTCTACACCACGGAACCTTTACAATGACTAATTCCAGTTGTATGGAATATCCCGGAAAATGAATAGTTTAATTTGCAGTACATTTTATCACAAAATTCGAAAATGCAGATTAAGTGCTGCAGGTATGGCGGTCGATCATGCTTCGGTGAAGGTCGAATTGGATTTTGTTCCGGCCTGAACTTTGTCGTCTTGATCATCAACCTCGTCCTTTTCATCGTCAATTTTCTCAATATCACTGCTTGGAAGATGGTTTACATTCACTCCGGAACTTTTTTTTCTTTACTTTCTTACTATTTCATCGGTATGTGGTGTGAAAAAGGATTAGAAGCCAAAAATGAGATGGGAATCCGGACGAAATTACAATGAATTCTTTTCGGATTAAAACAAACGATACATAAGTAGTCCATTGATTCAATTGCGAAGTATCATTCCTTTCAATACAATGAAAATATTTATACCATTTTTCAGGAACGAGTGTATTCAGCAATATGCATGATTCTTTTTCTGGTTGCATCAATCCTTATCATCTGGTTTATCATCGAAGTGAATACTAGCCGAACTTCCCTCATTGTTACTACCGTTCGTAACTTTTTTTGTTATTTGGGAAATTAAACTAACGATTGCCAGTTTCTAAAATATTGCCTTTTCATAGTGATTCGGTTATTTATGAATGCTGTAAGCCTTCTCATTCACCGAAAATTACAGCTCTTCTCCAAAATGAAGAAATGCAGGAAGAGAAATCTTTCAAATGAAATTACCGCCTGACTTTTAGAATCATCCTTCCCGCACTTTTTCTTTATGGCAGTTTTCCCAGTTCAAGAGAAAATTGGTAACCAAGGCGTAGTTACTGAAGTATTAGCTCAACATATTCAACTTCGTTTAGTATAGTTTTACCCTAATTATGATTTGAGCTGTTTAGCTCCAGACAGAAGCAAAGGAATTTTAGATCAATCTTCGAACTTTTTCAGTTCTAAGCTTACTACACTTTTCGTTCCATTTTTCATTAGTGCATTCGTTATTCTATAGAACTTGAAGTCAAATTTAATGCAACCTTATTTTAGATCTGTCTCATTGTCGAATGTTTTTCGTTCCTGTGGGATGTAAAAATTCTTCAGGGCGAAGCTTCCAACTAAATAAAGGATTTATGGCGTTTCAGTCCAACCTTATGACCGATATGTTGGATATTCATCATTTCCCGCTTTGTCCTCTTCAGGATCCTTTGATTCAACTTAATTTACATCCCACTTTTATCCAGTTATTTGATTAAAAATTCCCAAAAGGATTGTTCCCAAAAGGATTGCTCCTTTTCCTTGATATTGTTTCATTCGCTTTTATTTCCCGCCAAAATTTTATTGCTATAATGAAAATTATTTCCGGTTTTTAAAACTCTATTCATGTGATGTAAATGAATTAGTTGCTTCGCATGACTAATTTTGGGATGTAAATTCTCGAAATTTTTCAGATTAATTTTCGTTCTCATTTCTATACCCTATTCAAATTTCTCGTTGCGATTTTTTAAACTCTTTTCCTGAATTTGCTTTAGCTAAAACTGAAAATTTAGCCATTTCGGAAAGGAACAGGAGTAGTATTTTTCTTGCAGATATGTGCGAATCTTGTTTTTATAAGAATTCACCGAGAGTATTCATGAAAATTTCGAGAAGGATTCATTCTGTTTTGAAAATTTTCTTTTCAGTTTTCAAAATCAAGTTCCATCTTTCTATCCCTTCCTCACATGTCCCCGTCTCGTATCTGTCCTTCCTTCTATCTTTTCATTGTATATGCATTTATTTAGTCACTTTAAATGATATAATGAAATAGTTTCGATTATTTTCCTTGTCTTATGCATACAAAAGCGACAAATGATGTCATTTAAATATTCAGAAATAAATGGACTATTTATGGACGGGAAAGATTGGTGTTTTTTTTAAAATAGTCCGTTCTTTTTCCAGCCAAAAAATAAAAATTACTCGGCAAAGATATACTTCGCACATCCAGCTTTCTGTGTTCATTTTTATATTTTTAAATTTTTGAGGTCAATCCATTTATTTCGTAGTTATCAACTTTATCTGTCATCCAACATAAATGTCCTGTTATCAGCCATATATCATTGCTAACGCTGGAATGATGTATTTAGCATTCGTATTTCTGTTTATTTCAGAACCTCACCAAGCATTTCTGAATGACAAATAGTTACGGGTCCTATTGCCTCTAATACTTTTGCATAGTGATTCTTCACCCGTAATTAATTACCAATGATCAGTCACATATGCACACTTCCAAAGCTATTTAAACGCGTAATTGTTAAAAACCAGTACCACATATGAATCATACAAATATTGAACTTACGAAAATACCCGATTATTACAGGTTCTCAAATGTTCTATATACACTGAACCAAGTGACAGTAGTTTGCTGTACTCATATCATTGCATGAATAAGGTTTTATCCAGTGAATTCAAAGCTTTATGAGACACCTTTATACCATTCAATCATTTTCGTGAGGTGATAAAGTTAAATGCATAAGGATGCAAAATATCACTAATGAACTCTATACCTGATGATTAATCCTCCAAAGAGGACATGCGTTGTCGCAATAATCAATTACTTCATAACAGATGTAACAAAGTTAAACTTGATGTTCGGTCTTGTTCTGAATACACTTTGTCATAGGACCGGCTGAACAGCAACTTTTGAAAACGAAATTTTTAAAAAAATTGCTTTTGTCATCTTTAATGCCAAATAGTTTGGTGGGGATGAGAGGGGAGGAGGGGAGGGGGATAAGTACAATCTTTGCCGATTCAATAATATCACCGTATCCAAGGGCTTTCATTGGCAGTTATGCATTACAGCGCACAACTACGAACAGCTGACAGCTCATCGTTTCAAAACTTCATTATCCACATTTCAATGAACAAATAGTCTTTTTCCTGATTACTTTCAAGTCTAAATTCTGCAAGCCTAGACTTGAATAGCCAGAACTTTACATATGTTTGGACCTGTATAATACATAAATCTGGAAATAATTGAAAACGAACTTCATATATGTCATCACTCTCCTACGAATAATTTACGGATTCATTTTATGACCATCTATTAATAATTTGCAGGATGCTCAAGAATTGTCTGGTGCCATGTGCAATTCTTTCGTAGAGTCGTACGGCTGGGCCTTTCTGCCAGATTTGCTATTGAAAGAAATTTTCTCACAATTACCTATTAAAAATTTGGGACGCTGTTCTCAGGTCAGTCATTCATAAAAATTTCTTTTTAAATTTAATTTTATTTAGCAGTTGAAGGAATGATTCACATTGAATTGCATTCTTTGTATGAGTTATGAGTGTTCGGCAAAACTTGTCAAAATCTAAATGAATTTCTAAAATTGAAAAAAAAAGATTATTGATTTCGCTTCATTTCAATTATTGGAAATTTGTAAGAAAGAAAATTATGTTCTTTTTAGATACAGTGAACGTTTCCCTCGGTGATACAGTATGCATTCAAATTTGGTTTTTTGGTTTTTTTTCAAATTTGGTTTTTTGGTTTTATTGGTTTTTTGAATTCCAGGTATGTCTGAATTGGCATCGTATAAGTCAACAAGATTACGCTTGGCGGCGATTTCAGTATAAGGATAAAATGTTCACACGACGTAAATACACATCACATGCAGGATGGCAATATATGATTGATCACTGGAAGTTGAGGTTAACTGTAATTTGAAAATATAACTGTTAAACCAAGTTGTTGAAAAGAACTCCTCGAACTACTTAAAACTATTATCCACCAAGTATAATAAAGGTTCATTCTATAGTTAAACTAAAAGCGCTAGTGGCATTTCCGATATCGATTATCGTGACAGATACTTTTCATTATTTCTTCCTTTAAAGATTTCTAATAGTGAATGCGACAGCGAAATGGAAAGTACTGGAAATTGAACCGGTAACAATTCTTTTTAATTTATACGAATTCATCCGGGTTTTAACCAATTTTTCGGAATACTACGAGAGGAACTCGTCTGAAAAGCCGCTCCAAGGAATACGATCATTTTCATTCAAATGGCAACTCCATGTACATATAAGGGGTGAAGATCAAACTGAGAGGGTGAATATCTCAGTTACATTCTTCAGATTTATAGAGTTAATGTCGGTAGTATGATTTTTACTCTTTCCAGAACTGCTGTCAAGAGAGTGACAGAAAAAAATTATCTTTTTTGTTATGAATGAAAATGTGAAGTGTCTAATTATTCATATTATTCATAATGAGAATTATTCTTGATTACCAACAAAGGTGGAAACTTCCTAATAGATAGTTAAGAGCTTGTAGGTATTTGGAACAGGTGGTGAGATGTTGAAAACGTTATCGTTGCTATTGTCACATTTGCATGGGCTAACTGAATTATCACTCCGGGAACTTCAGCTGGAACCATACGAATGCAATGATTTCATTGATGACGTACAGAAAATTATTGTTAGATTATGCAATCATTCTTGAAAAAGATGGAAAATTGGTAAATTGGAAGAAAAGGGAATTCTGCCTATATGTGAATAACCTAATTAATATTACTTTTTTACTCTAGTCAGAATAGTGAAAGAAATTTACTTGAAATTTTAAAAAATTCGAAAGATTTTGAACCATTCAAAGTACGATAAAAATGTTTTTTAAAAATATCAAAGTGCTTTAAAGTTTAAATATTTGCAGATTCTGTACAAATTTGATTCACAACTCACATCACTGTGCATCATAAATTTAACGAAAGTGTACAGGCCATTTCTGCAGCTCGGATTATTTCTGTTCTTAGAACATTTAACTGTCTCACCACAACATCTCGATGAATCAATAGTGACACTTCTGGCTGACTTGAGACATCTCAAATCACTAATTATTTTGCAGGTGATATACTAATATTGATTGATATATTAAATGTTCACTTGCAGAGTTTTTCTAGAACGATAAAACATTTGGAGCGAAAGCTGTGGATTCAAAAGCGTGGCTGTCTTTTGCAGAACGGAACAATCACACGCGAATTCATTTGATTCAAGCAGGTAAATTTTTTTTTTGTTCTTAGTAAGATTGTTCAGAATCACGTAAATGGGATTGCAGTATTTATTGCAATAATTGCAATAAATCATTTCAAAAACAACCCGCACTTATTGCTCTGTTCTTCAGGAAAACGACAAAATGAATTGCTGATCCAACCTAAGGCACCAGTCTATGCTATTATATTTGACAAATCCACTGGGCAGCTTACCGGTGAATTGACGCAAGAGGTTATATAAAAAAAATCTTATCTCTATAAATATATTATTGCAAGAACTGTCTTTGCAGAAGCCTTTTTCATCATTAATGACATAAGTATTTCCACAGAAAATATAATATGTCGTCGAAAAAGTTATTTATAACTTTTTTAAATTTCTCGTTTGATAGTGAGGAGGCTCAGAAAGGTTTCAGTGGATATCTCAATCAATTCACCCGTCCTTCAGTGGGAATTTCGTCTTTTTTGTTTACTCTACTTATATATCAGGTTATTGAATTATTCAGATTTGCCGCAACTATTCAACAACATTGCAATTTTTTCTCCAGAAGGGTCTTGAACGTCGGTATCGTTCCAGAGAATTCACGAAGCGAGTTGATGTTTTTGCTATCGAGCTTGCGCTTAGATGCCGTTCGTTTTCGAAGACACATTTTAACGATTACAAAGAAGTGCTTTGATTTCCGCTTAATCAGCGGCATGTCATCATACTGTCTGTATAATTAATATTTACTTCCAGCTAATCTAAAACTATTAGCAATACGAGAAAGGATGTGTTTTGCAAGCGCATTGTTGCTCGCCCAAATTGCTCGATCACATCAGATGACAATTTGTTTGAGGCGCAACGCACTGCTAAAAAGAGTTCGCTAGCTTACTCATACATTTCAATGTTTTTTGAAGGGTGGTAATACCAAAATTGTTCCCCTCAAAAGCTTTTTTTTTTCATCTATTAGTGTTTATTTCAGAAAAAACGAAAGTAAAAATTAAGCTTTCGAAATGTTTAAAATTGTTCCTTTTTAGAAGTAAATATCATTCCTATAGTCTTTAGTTTTATTATTATTGATTATTGTTAATGTTAATGCTATCATTTGTCAGTTAGCTACCACTATCGTTCTTAATTAGCTCATTGTTCTACTGGCATTACTATAATCTAAAAATCATTTACTCATAGGTAAATTGGGTTGATGATGCTGTGAGAAGTATTCTGGGCTCAGGCAGCAATCAGAAATGGATCAAAGATCATTGTGGAAGTTTTGAAATACTAGAAAGAACAATTCGAAATATAACGGGAACTGCAGCCGCGATCGTTACGGATAACAGATATTTGTATAGCTTCTAATGTTTTCCTATATTTTAACGGCATAAAATTTGTTAAAATTTAATTCCATGATAACAAGCCATCTGCAATGATTTCTTTTTCCAGTCTATGGTCCCCGGAATGTGAAGTATAACCAGTTAGATCTAAATAAAGTTGGCAGTTAAGACAAGATGCGATATGTCTGAGCACAATCAAGTAAAATAGTAATTGTAACCTTTGGCAGCAGCAAAGTTAAAGAGAGGGGAGGAAGTCGACAGGCTTTTGTTTCATCTATCGTCACAAGTTCAAATGAAATTAACAGAGTCTTTTGTCTGCATATTTAATGTCTAATTTGCATATGTGGTACCATAGAGCATATATGAAACATAAGGGCGGTTCATTCTGATCATTTCTTTACATTTTTGCCAGAACTGTAATGAGTGATAGTGCAGATGTGCGCAGTTTCCCGACTGCATTGCTAATTGGCACTCTAATGATAGCTTTGCCAGCAGTACCTGTCCTCATTCTATGTCAATTCAAAAAGGTGGAAAAAAGGAAGGAAACTATGCTTTCTGTATCACATTTACCCGCAGTGGAAAATAGCGACTCAGAGATAAAAGTAAGCAAATTCAAAATTTCTGATTAGCCGGAAACCAGAGGTTCTCAAGATATCATCACGATCTTTTGGAATCATCTAACTTATTACCAATATTATAGTAAAATGTAGGCAAAGAACCATTATACGAGCTTTATTCTACCGAGAGACCAGCACTCATACAATTTTAGAATTGTCCATTATTCATTGGGAAAAAAACTTTCACAAATGTTAGATATTGAAATCAGAATAACCATAACAACTTCCAGCAAACTGCTAGTGATGTAACACATTCAATGGAAAAGAAACCGGCAGTGGAACAAAACAAGGTGCATTTATTTGAGAATTTTTTACCTTTCGATCGATCAATCTTGCCTTTTATCGATTATAATATAAAACCGGGGAACTTTAAAACAAAATATGGAACAAGGAATAATATCCAATTTCAGGTAGAGGTGAACCAAACCAATGCGTTAGTTGCGGGAAAGATGAAATCTGCAGAAGTGATGTACAAGAATGGAATACCATTGTGGATGGAGATGAAACAAGACACTGAACATATTGCTGATAGAAGTTTGAAAACGCAGAAGTGCAATGACCAAGGGTAACAGCATATTTCACTCAAGAAAAACAATACTTGAAGAGAGATTATCAACCCAATTTCACAGTCGCATAGCTCTATACAGCATCTCTTCTTTTTGGATTCCTTTTAAAAATTTCGCTATACTGAGTCATCAAATTTTTGGGAAAAGCAACTTTATGCTGATGCTATATCCTTACAGAATGTCATTTAAGGGGAAGAAATTACCAAATCATTGGTGATTTGGATACCACCGATTCATCACATGAATATTCATTAGAGAATACGCTTGCTATAGAATCATTCGAAAAGATTAGTCCGTATTCTTTAACAAGAAGTGTAATGAGCCGAATATCATTTTAAGCCAAAAAATTACCAAATGAGAATCTAAGCTAAGTTTTGAACTTATAGCTAGCGTTAACAGCAAAGATAATATGACTAGAATGTTAGCTTAATTCATAAATGAAATGATAAAATGGCATAAGACATTTAACATTTTCAATGATATTGAAAATGCAGAAGAAAAACATGGTCAGATACTGGAGGGTGAGGAGATCAACCGTCAAATGGAAAAAGCGCCGCAAAAAAGTATGTTAAATGTAACAATTTTTATTTCTGTCACAGCGTTCTTCCAATAACACAAGAAGTTTAGGAACAGACCGAATCTGATTTAAACTACTCGAAGATATACACTATCACATTCGTGGTGATACCAAATCTGCTGATGCGCTATGATCGTTGCAAACAAATTAGACGACCAACAGCGTCCATTTCTTTTGAGGTGACTCATCGAACTACTCATTATTTGATTCGCAATCATCAAGGCGGGACATTCGCGAACAACGGTATCGATTACTCAAATTAAACACATCGGTAGCTCGACGAGCAGCTGCTGCATTAGAAGATAGCGTGCTTTCTACATCCACTCAGGACAAGAAAGAAAAACCGACGGCCGAAGCGGTTAATTTTAAATTCCAGTACAGTTCGAAGTTCTCGACATCCCTCGTAGCCTAACATGTAGATTTTTGGGTAATTTTTGAGTTATTTCAAAGCAAAAAAGGTAGAGCTTAAAATTTGTACAAATTATTCATCTGGAAGTCCATAGTAAAATAAATGATAAGATGAGAAAGACTTGGACGTATAAAGATATCATGGCACATTAGTTAAGACTAACGTCAGTTAAAACTTGCCGTGATGCCTTTATAGTAAATGGTAAATGGCCATTGGTACATGAACATAAATAAAGTAAACACTATTATTTGCAGGAGGAACAAGCGGTTCTTCAAGTTGATGAAACTCAAGATAAGTTAATAGCGCATATTTGACTTTAAATTTCTGTCCATGACGTTAATTTATGAGGATTATAAAATACACATATGTGACATCTGATAATGTGAAATCTAATCGATTATTCTACCAGTAACAAATGGCATAAGTTGCAGAAGCGATCTGAGGTCTTAAAAATTAATATTAATCACTGTTGATTAACTGTTGTACAAAGTGTATTTTGTTTAATTGTTGAAATTTTGTTGCATATTACACTTATTGTAGTGAGTCACAAAAAAGAAGTCTGCATGATGAAACACTAACTCTACAGCTTTCCAGATTCTTTTGTTTGGAAATCAGAAAAAAAAATCAACAACTGTTAAACATAATGGTGGCACTTGAAAAGTAATGTAAGTGGATATAGTGATTAATAAGGTAAATCAGTAAAGAACAAGGAAGTTTATTTCGACTCTCTAAACTGCCGTAGACCTTAAAAAATACCTTCTCACTATATAACTTAGTGAAATACAAGGAAAAGAAAAACCACAAACATTCATTCTTTTTTCAATGATAAACACTTCAAATTTTGGTGAGATCGATCTCGGTCACTAATAATCAATTTGCTCGGATCATTAATTCGCCAATCGATGGCCAGTTCTGGGTCGAAAGGATTTACACCAAATTCCGCTTGTGCATTGTATATCGCTGTGCATTTGTATGTTACATGAGCTCCTTTTTCCGATAAAACCTGAGATTCAAGTCTTGATGGTACAGTAAAGACGTAAGTATAATATAAAGTAGATATCAGATTAGTTGTGATTAGTTCTACCTCTCAAATAGCCAGTGCAAACATTACTGGTAATATATGGAGAGATCCTAAAGCATAATCTAAAAACCACAAGAATTATTATTAGTACACTGGTACTGACTATCTGAATATATAGTCCACAGAATTCAAAACACAGAATCTAAACAAGAAAAGGCTTACATAAAATCCATGTAAAAACCCATCTGGTATCCAGAAACCTGTTCGCGCTCTTTCATCTAAAACAACACCGTACCATTTTCCAAAAGTTTCCGATGTTGGTCTTATATCGACAGCAACATCGTATATTTTACCACTTATAACCGATACTAGTTTACCCATTCCCGGTTGTGCATGTAAACCACGTAAAACGCCAGATTTTGAATAGGAATGATTATCCTTAAATGCAAGAGATTAAAGAAGTGATAGCTAACCGGTAAGACTTGAAAATCTGGCTGAAAGCATTGTACCATGCATCAGTCACTACCAGTATTTTGAAATTGTTCAAGACAAAACTAAATAACTCGAGAGTTGATGAGCAATGAGTCTACCTGCTTGAATTTCTCGAAGAACCCTAAGGCACCCAATTCATATTCGTTATATGACTCCACGAAATAACCGCGAGCATCGGGGAAGAGTTTTGGTCGAATAAGTTTCAGTCCATCAATTTGTTCGATATCTTCAACCTTTAATTCTGTTCTTCTGAGCATTTTACTGAAGCTCATCGACTGAGAAACGAATGCTAAAATAGTCACCTGAATCTAAGAAGGTTTATCAAAAAAGAGTATACACGAACAGCATACGCCTAATTTATGGTCAGTGATGCACCCTTATAGGGCTTGAAAAAGATTTCCCAGCTCGGTAGGATGAGGTTGTTTCAACTGCTTTATTTCATATGAGAGCAGATTCCGTCGAATGATTTTATTTCCAGATCTGCACATCATTTCGTGCAGTTCACCGTAATTGCTTCGAGAATTATTTCCGTCAGAGTCCAGACAAGCCCTCTCCAAACATTATCAAGTTGAAATGAGGCTTGCTGTGGTCGTTAGAACTAATCCAGCAACATTTCAGGAAGTAGCATCATATGCAACAAAAATGAATTGAAATGAGTTCTAGACGAGCAATGAGAGTAAATACAAACAAGAAAGACCTTAACTTCAACAAAAATTCTAAACGAACGACTTCAACACGCTTAAAAGTCACTACAACAACCATAATAACAAAGTGTAACTAGAATTCCTATTCTTTCCCATCTGCTTACAAATGTAAACAATAACGCAGTGATTGCAAATATAGTAATTTTAATTTAATGGTGAGCAAGCTAAGTACTGAATATAACAACTAAAGATCTGTCAAAACTTTGAAAATATCTTTCTGTGTTATACGCAATATATAAACGTACACAAAGTGTTCACTTGTGTAACTCGCAACTGTATTAAAGCAACAATTTCAGTTTGGATAATTGCATACAGTGCGTAGAATTAAAAATGTCAAGTTTGCGCTGATTATTTCACTCCGCTGTATTTTATTTCTTCCGTCATCGACACAAAACTAATCATTGCGGACGCATTTATAAAGCTGTAAGAACATGTGAAAAACAGGGTAATTAACTAATGGAATCACTCATTATTAAGTATATATCAGATCAAAAATAGCTAACAGTAATCCAAACTTAACGACTTTTTCTAACTCTTGTTTCCGACATAATAAAGATATTTTTTAAATTGCTTTGTGAAAAAACACCATATAACTCACTAAACACAAGGAAAAAATAAAGTTCGAAAACCCGTAAAAATAATATAATAACATACATTAATCAATCTGCTGTTTTAAAGTTACCACACACCAAATCCTTAAAAACTACCCCAAATCTCTGTGGAACCTCTTACTAGCATCCAGTTTAAGTATTCCAGGAAAATCACATATTGTCAACATGAAACAAATTAGTCTCCTCCAAATCCAAACCTATCACAAATCACGAAACTGTTAGAATCTTGAAATTTTATGTCCAAATAATATTGACAAATCTAGATATAAACGAATGAGCAGGAAAATCAAGCAAACAAATCTCGAGACATTTTCGACTGCCCATAGTTAACCGACTGCCAGCTGGCCACGGAAGTCAGTTAGGAGCCGATCATAAACTGGTTATTACAATAGAATACCACCTCTTAAGATTTTTCACATACATAAATGAAGATCTATTTAAACGGCAACAATAATGGAATAATAAATAACAAATCCAATAAAGATTGGTTGAAATTGGCTTCAAAATATTGCCAGATAACTTCGTATTAATGTCGGAGTATCTTTCAATAAGTAAAAATTCCAAAAAAAGAACAGCTGCGAACTCGATTAAATCGAATCAGATTTCATAAAAAGTGGTTTTTCATGAATAGATTCCCATCAACAAATGAAAATTAATTTATTGTTCACATTTACTGGACTGGAGAGGTAGAAACAGTATATTTGCTAAAAAAAGAAATGAAAATTAGATAAACCTCAAGAATAACTTTAATAATTTTGTTAATGAAATACAATGTTAATATAAAATATTGGAGATAACTCCACAAATAATAAACTAATTTTTGTACAAGAAATAAGAGTTAGATCGAATTTTCATGGAGAATCCAGAAATCTGTTAGAAAGGCCAGAAGCGAGAATTCTCATTAACACCAACTTCCCATACATTCATTTTCACCACTTCGAACGTTGGTACGGAATAATTCGGAATCGAAACTTCACATGCGAATAAACAGTTTTCTATTACTTCGCCAGTTATGCAACTAATCTTTCCTCAGACATGCTTGCTTCGGCGAAGCACGTTTTTCTAATAACTTCTTGTCATCTTCACGTTTTTTATACTCTATAATGCAAGCAGGTATACCCTTGACGGTAACGATGTGTTTTTTTGCTGAGGATCTGATAATTAGTGAATCACGCAATGATATTACCTGAAAAAAAAAATGCTTTTTACAGGTGACAGAGGACATAGAAAACATGCCTGAACATGACATCAATTTTAGAGTCGAACTGAACATATCTCTCAACAACCTTCAAATGGTTTCAAAGTCCACGGCCTTATGCCCATTGAAAACCATTTTTCTAGGCCAAAATCACCGAAAAATCCTTAATAAACATATATTAATAAATCTAAATATCTAACATTAAAACATACCCGTTTGCTATTTGCTCTAGAGATGACTGTAGACTTTGTAACACCAGAACCGGATGAAGTGCTTTCTGGAGAATGCCGGGAAGTGCTTGGTGAGTCTGCCGTTGGCCGTCCAACCCTTCTTCTACAATTTGAGGACTGAAGCAGCAAAAGACAGGCTACAAAATTAACAAGTAATTGTTTCTTTAAAGTTACCCAAGTCCAGTTCCAACCAAGAATGTCCTTCCCATCTGAGAGGTCAAATCTGAGACTCTCAGCGGAAAATTTACGTCTTCTCTAGAAGTTGAAATGTATCCAAACTAGATAAAGCAGTAAATGAACTTCGGTTTCTCGGCAAGACTTTGTTGAACAACAAAATTCTGCACAACTGTATGATGCTGCACAACATTTTGATTCAAACGTGGCTTTCTTGTCGATGTCCCTTTCCTGAAAAGGTGAAATTTTCTTTACCTTCGGAAAATATTGTAGGTTTGAAATCAATGAATTTGAACAGTAATGTAGCAAAGCTCAATATTTTGAAGTTAAATGAGATAGAGAACAGAGACGAGTTTAACTGCGTTTCTTACAATGTTAAACAACGAATCTTCCAACATATCGCTTATTGGAAATAGAAAAGATAAAAGCAGAAGGGAAATATTCCGAATGCACTTCACTGAAAAGTCCATAACTTATAATTCAGCTCAAATAGATCATTAACCTTGTATCGCACATTTCGCATTTGAACGCCTCATGTCGATTTCGGAATGTACATACAGTGCACTCCCAACTTCCAGGCTCGAACCCTTCATCCTCTGCTTTTGAGCGATTTCGTTTCTTGGCAGACATAAGTTTAGTACTTCCCCATTTGTCTCAATACTTCAAATGCAAAATTTTAAAATTAAGATGAAAAGTTAAATTAGCCGTGCAAACACCCATCACTTGTAGGCAAATCGTCAGGGATAATCGGTCATTTAGTATAATAGACATATTTTAATAATATTAATCCTCCATTTTATTCAATTCAACCGCTGATTGAATTACTGACATTAGGGAGAGGCCAGTCTTCTATACTCCAAAACGGAAATATTTGGAGGAGATGAAGAAATTTTTAATGACGAGAATACGACATTTTCGGAAGAGACTTGAGCAAAGTTGAACAGTGAGAGCTCTTCACCTTGTAGATAAGAAATCTAAACCTAAGGCAACATATCGAAGCAAAGGCACACCTATTTTCTTTTTCAGCGATAACTTCTTAAACACCATCATCAAGTTATGGACCGTAATTACTTAATTATCCTTTTTTCCTTGCTGACCACAGCCTTATTATTCACCAACTTTTTGCGTCCACTACTTCAGTCTCAACACCTAAATATTCAAGAATGGTCCAAACTCAACTATCTCAATCCCTTCCCTTCAACTTCTAATCCACAGATCACACAGTACTCACCAAATCTTATTATCCGATTAATCGTCCAGAAAAAAAGAAACAAATACGAAAGCGGAATCATTGGTTGATACTTGGCGAACCAATCCACTTTTGACGTCCGCTTTGTGCAAAACGATCAGTTCACTTTGATTTTTTACTGCAGTAATTCTGGAATTCCGATAAATTTGATGTCTGATGTCAAACAGCTGCATGACTTTCAGCAGAATGAGCAGAGGTGACACTTTCGCGGTTGAGGTGTGGTTGGCTGGATGAAAAGTTGATAAGCATAATGGGCATCTTCCGGCAATTAATCGTAAGAGTGTCCTCTTAAAGGACGATGACTGACATTCGCATACATTGCTAATTTTTCTGATAGATGAACCATTCATTTTTGATCGAAAGCATCGTTTTACTCAACTGATATATAGCAGTTACTTCCGGATAAAAGGTTGCTGATGAGGAATTTCAACAACAACTTTGATGATCTACGGAAATTAAGAGGTAGTAATCATGGCTGGCTTCCTTTCCTCTTTCTATTTGCTGTCCCACGAGCGGAGGGAGTGAAAATGTATGTATTGGTTCGTTTTTAGGCCCTAAAAAACCGGTTTCAAAACAAACATAAAAATAGTTTTTTTTTCGGGACAAGCAACTACAATGACAACACCGAGAGAGCATCAGGTTTAAATTATTCTTTTTCTTGCTTTGTTCTTTGTTCTTTCTAAAAATTGGAATGACTTCGAATACTGAGTGCACGGATGAGCAATTGCTCTATTACAGACGACAGGTAGTACTGCTGTTACCTTCAGGAGTGATTAAAAAGTGAATTATCGAATCCCTTTTTTCGGTGTCCAAGACCACTTCAAGATATAGCCAGTTAATAAACCTCTTAGTCGCTCTGTCATTGCTGTTTTCCAAATATCGTAAGAAATACAGCTTGTCTAAATACTTTCCATTTGAAAAGTATAGGTGACTATACCTTTCTTTTCCAGCTTTTTTCTTTCCATCATTCATCATAAATTTCTTTAGATTATTCGAAGATCAGTGCGATCGCTCTTGTCATTCGGATCGATCAGACATTGTTTTTAGCTCAATAAATCTAATTGTATTAAAGACTGTTCAAGCGATTAAAATACTTTTTACGTTTCATCGTTTACTCGCGGATGGTCTGCCGGTCTTATTTGCTGATTACATAAAATGGATTCACTTTAGCTTTCTAAAACTTGAACCTATTTGTCATTCATTCGGACAAAAATAAACAAAAATGATAAACAAAGATATATTTAAATGGAAAAGCAATTCTAAAATTTCTTTCTGGGTACTTTCTTCGATGTTTTCATACTATCAATTATAATGATACATATGGCAGAAGTGTTAGAGATCAAATGTTTTATTTAAAACTGTGGTGGTTAGTATTGACAGTGATAGAGTCATCAGTGCACTGAGAGCCAAAAAGTATTTTGAGGAAGCTAAGAGGAAAGAGAGGAGCGGGACTTAGTATTTTTTGAGGTAAGCATAAACTGTACGGGATGAATCGGAAATCATTCTGATTTTTGACTTCTATCTATAAGTTTGACTCATATGTAGGAATGGAAATCCAGTTGAAATTTGCCTTCCTTTTGCCTCGTCTCCTCCCTGTACTTCACATGTTCTACGGTGAATAACACTGGCAGGGATACATACACAACAACTACTCGAAACTGTAGACCTGTTTGTCAGCAAATGTAAGCATTTGAAATATAAATGTATACAAAGATATGTAATCATGCACAAACAAACAGATAGACAAACTCCCAAATTTGTTTTTGAAGGATTCCAACGTCAGCCGCTGCCTTTTTAATGGCATAATTTTTATTTAGCATGAAGGTGTCTCGCATCGATTGAGGCAAACTTTTTTAGGTTGGGTGATATGGTTAGAATCTGTTAGCTAGCTGTGAATTTCTGCCCATAAAATCATGATATTGATATTTCGCTAGCACTATTACAGTTTATAGCTTAATGAAGTGCAAATATATTCGGTGCAAAGTTGACTTCTGTAAAATTGAACGTAACCTCCTTCCCTTCTCGATCAAAGTCAGGTTTTGTGACGGTATTGTATGCAAGTTGCGGATTGCAAATATTGATCGTGATCCTTCACTTGATAACACCATCTTTTCTAGTTTATTTTATCTTTATAATTGGGAGTTGGTAGCATTTATCTATGATAAAAAGCACTGCCTAAATGCATAGGGTCGGGGAGTATCTGGTAATTTGATTTTTTCTAATATCCGCTTTTATCTCAATAGTATGGTCGGGTGTTATTAAGTCATACAGTTATGATAAAATTTTCGATTGACTGATCGATTTTAGCTTTTGAAGTGCATTTTTAAAGTGGTATTGAAGTAAACTGCACCAATAAATCACTATGAAAGAGGGAAGGAGGAAAAACCCCGCATAGATGGAGAAGGTATCGACGACATAGCATTATTAATTCTAGTTTATTTTTGGGGATGTATTGGGCCGGTGAAAAGAGAGATGGTTCTGGAAATGTATGATTAAACTAGAAACCGGTTTTCTGTAATTCAGAAAACGAAATGAAATCGAGTTAAAGCGATGACTGGCAGTAATTTCGAAAGTTCTAAGCCTGAAGAGGCGAGTAGTTGTATTAGGCAAAGGGATGGTTGGAGGGAATTGGTGTCAATAAAGAGGAAAGTTTTCGAATTTTCTGGGATCAATCCAGTAAAACTGCAACGGTAGTGCAGTGCAGTGAAGCGAGATAAAACAGTAGTAGTGCGGTAAAGTGACATGATGGTGTAGTATGTGGTAGAAATAGTAGTATAACAGCTGGTATGACTAGTTTTCTAAGCACTCAGACATACAGAGACCGATGAATTTTGTATGTGAGAATCTATCTACCTCAACCTCAAAATTTCCATTCCTTTTCAACTGCTTTCCCTCGTCGCAAACTGCTGCTATCACATCCTTCTAGTGTCGCTATTGTCAGTAGAGTTATCTAACGTTATTGCTATATAGTAACAAAGCGGTGTTCAGACTTTAGAAGAAGAGTTGTTCCAAGTGATCCTACCTTAACGAAGTCATAAAATTCCCCGCAATTTCACTCAACTATTAGGAGAGCGCTCTATGCTTTTGAAAAAATATCTATAACTTCAAATTTGTTGAAGCGACCAGTCGCATTTGATCAAAAGTTACAGCGAAATTTAAAGAATATATTCATTTAGCAACAGACTGCTAAAATTACCGAATCTTTTTCTCCGCTCCATGGATAACGACTCCAAAGCAATTTTGAATGGAATTAATTTGCGATTGAATGACATTGACTTGAAACTATCATTTGTTCTGGAATTGCTCACAAATCGCCTACCCGAGAAGCCGTCATCGAGAGAACAGTTGACGACACTGCAGCTCATGCATCCACAATCTCATCGTGAAACGATGAATGATCGCAGAAGCATCGTCTTCGCTAGGTTAAAAGAACAGCGGCGAGCTGAGCGGTCATCGGCATTTGCCGTGGAAGATGCAATTGGTGAAATAGCTTTCGGCAATACCGCTTCTTCGTTGCAACTAGACAGCAATGAGAAATCGGTCCAACGACAACAAGATGGCATATTACCCGAAACATCATCCATTTCTACCAGAGATACATCAGCAACGGCATCAGCTGGTATCCCAGCAACCAACGACAGCGAAGGTGATGAAGAAGTTGATGATTATGACGATGAACTGGATGAGGTAATTTGAACCATCTTATGCAAGTTTATATCAGTTCGTATTTATGCTTGTTGATGAAAACGACAAAATATTGTTTCAAAAACCGAAAAAATCCAATCCATTATCATGTATGAAGAAATTCTTTCCCATAATTTTTAGATTGTGCCAAATTAGAAAGCAACATAGGCTTATTAGATAAAAAGTTTACTAGTGAACATATTATGACTTCTCGTGGCAGTGGTAATTTCTCTAAATATTATATTTCAAAATAAAATTGAATGTGGCCTCAAAATTTTTGTTTTGGATTTTATTTTCAGCACACTATATTACGTTGCATTTTTGCTTTCAAAATTTTGTAGTAAAAATGGGATGGGGAGACGATTTGAGATTCTGTGATAAGAGTGAAGGTAAAAGCAGTAGTTTCAAGTTTTATCTTGCTATTAGAAGTAGTGAAGGACAAAATTTCGAAGGATTCAATCTTTGTGAGATTGATTTCCATCTATTAAAATATTTCATAATTTAAAATCCAGGATGTTGCAACAACAAATCAGGATCGTGAAGTGAAAATAATTCATGCAGAAAGCAATTTTCCGGAAGGAGCGGTACGGCGAGCTGCCGAAAAGGCAGCACGAAGTTTTCAAAGTACTCAACCAAAGGTGAGTGAGGGTTTTTCTCCCCGACTCATCTATTTATGTTACACTTCTACTAATGATATTAATATGGATATTATTACTTATACAATTATCACTACATCTATTTTCACTGTGAAATAGTAAAGGAAGAGCAATTATTTGTTGTGGGTATTACCGATAGAATATTAATGTAACATTTTGAATGTCGAAAACTGAACTGGATTGCATGGAAGAATTCGATTTCAATTATTTCTTTGACAAAAATTCCTTTCTTCTTTCCATTTGTCCGACTCTCCTTTTTGTTTTGCCTTACGAGGTCTTCCATTCGTGCGCTCCTCTATTCTTAATTCAACTTCTGTTTTTGGCATTCTTTTTCAATCGATTAAAAATCCCCTTGATGGTTTCGGATATTATTGCAGATAATCTATGCTGTCGTTACCAAATGTTTTTCGAGGATGAAGGACTAAGTAATAAAAACTTTTGTTTCCCCCATAGTTTGTTTGATTTTATCAGAAAATTTCGTTCATTTGCATGCATCGATATTCTGTATCATATTGCTGTTTCTTTTCAAATTTCTTTTAAAGAGAGATCTACTTTTTTGTAAAGGATAATAATTTGTTCAATAGATGAATAAATGAAGAAAGTGCGGGGAAAAAGCTACTCAGATAATACTACAGGAACACTTTTAATTCTCCAAACGTTAAATCACATAAATGAAAAATGAGACAACAAATTTCTTGCAGATACCTTTCAGTTAGCCAGGTCCTTTCGCGGTCCATCATCTTTTTCCTCGAATGAACAGAAATATTTGCCACTAAATCGGCCATATTACAAAATTAACCATGGTTTTTGACGCTTAGCTTTCTTCAATACAGCTGTCCTGTGCTTCCTTGAATACCTGTCCTGCACTGACACGATTAGTCCATGACAGTGGCTATGCCATGTCCAGTCGATTAAATGTCCAGTTGGTCTAGTACCAGTTATTGTTTAATATGATTAAAATAGAAATCAATGTTTTAGACAGCAGAAATGAGCCAATTTCATGGGAAAGAGATGGAAAAATAAGAGAGAAGAGGACAGAATTATTTCGAGTGATGAAACTACTGATTGTTGCGAATACTGAGGATTTTAATCATTTTAATTACTTTCGTTAACAAATGGTGTTTATTTAGAATTATAGGTTTTTGCATGGCAAATATTACGAGAATCAGTTACCGATCAGGAACTTCGAAATGTGCACATCTCCTTAAGAACATTTCATGGTGAAACTGCAGAGCATCTCTTATCTCGGCAATTACCAAAGGTTTAATAATTTTAACGTAAGCTGGACAGCTCTAGTAGTAAAATTACAAATAGAAGCTGAAATTAACTCACAACTAAAATTAGCAAGAAAAGAAAATATGTAAGAATCACTTGAGTCACTTGAAAGGGTCTTCATATTCCTTCATGTTGTATACTATATCCTAACGTCTTTATTTTTAGGTATTTTACGTGTTCCTTCGGTTTTAATTAAAATTATCCCATACTTCTTTCCAGTTTTGAAAAAAAAAATGTTCTGAGGACAAGACTAGAGTTTTGTAATGCATGCTGCAATGGAATGGCTTTTCGGACCGCTAAATAGTTTATATTTAGCTTAATGCCTCATCTTTTATCATTTTATCCTAGTTTGTTTCCTTTTGCAGCTGCAGTGTCAGCCTAGTTAATTTATTCTCACTTAATTTAATTATTTCAGGTGACACAAATAATTAATCACTTCATTCATAGAGTAATTATATTCCAATGCTGAATATACTTACAAAGATGGTGTTACAGATACGTTTGGTAGTGGAAGCAACAATGTCCTATTTCAAATGGGATCAATTGAGTGATGAAAATCAGTTAACCAAAGCTAAACTATTATTGAGTCATCTAAAAAATAACGCGAAGGTCCGAAATTGGACTCTTAGAGAAGGACGTCCGAATCGGTTGGTTTAACAGTTCTGACAAAATTAGTATGTAAAAGAATGATTTCTTCAAAACTAAAACATACAGATTTGGTGTATCAATAACTACAAGGCAATTTCTACATTCTTTCAAGCCAGTGTTTCAGAATACCTCCAAGGTGTAATTTCCATTAAGGAATTTTTGCAGCAAGGTACTGCTTTCTATAACTAAATAAATGCAACGTTTTATCTTGAAGATATTGCTCTCGACTTGTCATGATCTGATAACTTCGAACTTAAATCGCGAATTCTAAATTAGAAAAATTTTGTAGGATATCGAACACGATGGATGCGGTATGGAAACGTTATGCAGCTTTACTTGGACAAACCGGTCTTGCTACTGTCGGTTTATTACCAAGCCACATAAATCAGCTCAATCGATAAAATCGACAAACAGTTCGAAAGCCTACCTCATGAACTTCTTTATTTCACTTCCTTACTTTCTCTCAAATATGTATGTATGTGTTTCTCACAAGTGTAACATTTGAAACAAAGTCACTTAATAGTGGATTTTGATCTGTCAAATCCCTGCAACACAGAAATTAAGATTCATACTCAAGAACCCCTTCTGGTTTAGCCAAGGAATGTTCAAATATACCTTTATGTTTGAACTTATCACTGACTTCTTCGATCTTCGTTAGGAAAAGCTCTTATCATGGCTACAATTGGCTTTGAACTCCATGTTCACTTTTCGAAGCTACCAACGCCATCTTGGCCACTAAACCTCAAGTAAGCACGGTATGGATTTCTATATTAAGAATGGTTTCATTTCAATATTTCAAAACATTATCGAAATATCACGCGAATGCCCTCTATTCCATCAGTTCAAAAGACCTTTTGAAGCATCGGCCGTTGCATGAGCACGTGTATTTCCAGTAATGATGCTACAAGATAATGCACTCTGTCGAACATGCAATTCAGCAACCATTAATGTCACCGCTTCCTACATATTTTTTAAATTCGTTGCTTCCACAAGCAACCAGTCATAATTTATTACATGCACAATGCGATAGAGGAGAAAATGAACACTTACAATACACGGCATTACAATAAAAAATATAAGAGAAGTAAAGGGAAATGAGATAGTACAATAATGAAAAAAGTGAGATAGCCGCGAAAACGTTCATGGACTGGTTTCAAAATTTCAACAGAAAGCAGTTGCCATTACAAACAAACAAAAGCAGAATGTGGACGAATAAAAGGAAATCCCTACTACAAACACCTATTATAAAAATGCATAATCCTGATGACGAAAATGAAGAGGTGAAAATAACTAAACAAACCATCTTTTTTTTTCTTGTCGCAAAGCATTTTGTAACCGAATTTCCACAAGTGTCAGTGTGAAAACGTGAAATCGCGCACTTCCACAATTTCTCCAATCTCACATTCCATCCGAATAACAATTTCCCAATTAATTATCGTTAAGTACCGTTTAAGGAGGAGCGATTCATAAATTGAAGTGCTAAGTCTTATCACAGAATTTATTAACTAAATGTTTCATTCGTTCGCTCAATATTTTAGTTGACGCAGTACAACGTTATAACTCCACATTATGAGAATTCTCCATACAATCACGTTCCGTGGGTTTTAATATTCGTTTCTTACAAAGATATTCCTGAAATGGATTTAAAATGGAATTAACGAATAGCAGTAATTACCTGGAAAGTGCCCTACTTTCCAAACAACACTAGTTGAAAAAAACGAGGTTGAAATTGAATGACCTACTTGATACCGCATTTGCCGCAAGTTTTTTTTTAGTTACTGAGACTTTACTACCTAATACTTTACACTAGCAACATCTCAAATCCATGTGATCATACATAACCAACTTGAAAGAATCTTAGTATGGTGTTACAGTGCAATGACTTGAAACATAAAGACCACCTCAAGTAGCGGTCTGTCCCGGATATTATACCATTGTTCGAGATCATTTTCATAACGCTCTAACAATATTTCACAATTCTGTTTTAATGTTATGACTTCAACCGACGGTGCATCCCACATTTCGTACGGCATTCCTAATTCGACCTGCAACTGATAACTATTAAACATATACTTAAAAAAGATTTGCGATGCCTGTATTTACAGGCACGCAAGCGACGATAAACTACATAGGAATTTTCTTGCAAATCTGAAGAATGAGTTTCACTTACGATAACCAAAAGTTGCAGCGCAATACAACACATGTTAAAGCCGTCACATGAATTCTTAATTGAGACTATGCATTTCATCAAGACGCAATACCAAAAGGTAGTATGCTTAAACAAGTCTTGAAAATAAAACCGAATTTCAAATATTTGATACTCATCATTACATAGCAGAAGCTTTAGACGCATTAAAAATGAGCAAACCTTAACTCCTTTACTCCTCAGTTCATTTAAAGCTTTCATTGTGCTACTTTCCTCTCTGGCAAATCGTGAAATGTCTGATTTCTCCTTATGCAGTTTATATTGCAGCATTCGCTCACAAGTTCCTTCCAAAGCTTCCACGAATTTAAGTTCCTTTTCTACGGCGGAAATCTATAAATTCTTGAATAATGTTCCAATCAACCTTCATTCCTTAATCCTCTAATATGCTGCTTAGAAAATGTATCAAAAATTTGAAGATTAACGTTCTCTGCTTTCTTTAAAAGGCTAGTGACAAAGCAAAGAAATATGCACAGCACTTAACGACAACATATTACTTATCCTCTTTATAATTTCTTATTTTTAAATAAAATATACATTTAAAAAAAAAGAAAAAAACCTCCTAGACTTTTCTCCATTCTTTTAACTACAAACAGGTTTTCAATTTTTATTAAATTCCAAACTTGCCTTAACATTTCTATCATCTGCTAACTGTTCCTGAAATTCTCGTGCAAATAATACACATGACTCGCAAGATGACGGAAGATCGACCGTTGACTCAGCAATAATTGCAAACGATTTCGAATATAGAACTGATATAACAAGAAGTAAAGTAAAAAAATTAGGAAGATGCTGGTGGAGCTTTCTGCCGTTGTTGTGGCTGTTGCTGCTTCCATTCCTGCTCATTATCATCGTGCTCTGTTGTATACATCTATAAAGGAATTTTGATTAATGCAAAAAGATATCTTACCAAACCTTTATAATGCTCATTCTGATGATGTAAAGAATCGAAAAGACTAGGAAAAAGTCAAAAAAAAAGAAAAAAAAAGATGAAGATAGAGAATAAAATTAATGTCGGTTTTCCTTTCGGGACAAAACATTTCAAAATAAATTAAGCTGACATGCAATCGTTGCCGTTTCCGAGTATAATACTGCCACTGTAATAATTGTTGTTCTTCAATAAATTTTGCATTTGCTGTACAAGTTATTGCCTCACGAAAAGCTGAACTTTGTACCGCTTCAAGAAAATGTAAGCACTGCGGATATTTCAAAGCTCTATAAAAACACCAGGAAAGAATCATTAAAAAAGAACTAAAATCATTGCGCAAAGTAAAATTTATGCTTTAAATCAATAAAAGAACACTTGAAAATACTGGAGTATTAATAAATCTAACCTTGCGTATTCTGGTCGTTTCCAATATAAAAGGTATTTCAAATAATTGATAAAGTACTGTTCCTTAAAATAACCTCGTTGCGCTAAAACTAAAATTAGTTCGGTTTAAATCACTTGAAGTTAAAATTTAGTCTAGTTAATGTCTACTTTAAATACAACCAGAAAGTAAGAAATATAAAAAAGCAAAGCGTACGTTCCATTTAAAAAGAAATAAGTTATCTGTTCGAAAAAGGAAACGTACAATTCAAGTAATGGGGATTAGCTAAAGCTTGTACGAATTCACACTCAATTTCGAATCGCTTCTTTTGCTCCTCAGATGTTTCGGGACCCGGAACCGAGTTTAAACCGGAACCTTAATCACTTTTTTGTATTTTAATACACATTACTTTTCGATTTTTCGATTACTGATGACTGAACTTCCATAATTTGGAAGAAAACAAATCAAAGATAACTTACTTCGCAAAAGATCCAGATTGTTCACTCGCTCGAAGAGACAACTAGAATTGCAGTTTATAAAAAAAAGATGAAGGTGCTCTGCTCATATAAAAATTTTACAGTTAACAATAAAATATTTAGCGCTTCAACTGTTTCGCTTCCAATTTAAAATTATCTTATAAAAGAACCGAAGCATTATACCAGAGCAAAAGTGCAATTCAGATTCTTATATTTCATCACATCTCATTTCATTCAGTTTTAACTAAGCATGAAGGTTTCATTCCTGGCAAGTATGAGTTCTTCTAAACATGTGATTTTGAATAACTGCTCATTGTATTATTCGAAGGGACATTTTTTGCTAAGAAATTTGCATATTGGAAGCTATATGAGAAGGAAGCTTCGGAAGGAAGAGCTAAAAACTTTAAAACGAGAAAAAATTGAGAAAAGTAACAAAAGTTTATCACTCAAAAATTAAAAAACAAAGACGGTATTTAGCATAAAGTGCATCTTAATAAAGAAAATAATGGACAGGCAAACAAATTCCTTTGATAATACTGTCGAATCTTCCTTCAACCCACATTATAATTTCTTTTTAAACACATTTTTTTAGAGGTATCCAATGATCCCAAAGCTAAGAACCACAACCAGTCTAGCGACTAGATAAACATTATAAAATAAGCTCTTAAGCATTTCAAACAAAGCTGGTTTAACTAAAATCGATAAAGGCTGAACTCCTTAACAGAAGAAAAAGAAAAATGGTCCTTCTGTTTGCTGAATAAAAACTAAAATACTAAGCAATTTTACACTTTTTTAGTGTTCCGCAACATCCCAAACAAACTGTATTAATGAACATAACTTATTTTCATCGTTTCTTTCCTACAATGAGCAAATTTTCAGGCGAAACAGTTCTTTCCACATATCTACATAAAGAAACATCATATCCAAACTTCCGAAGTTCTATGACTCGACCGAATTCCAAAACCGCTTTAGCTTTCTGCCCCAGAAGTTCTTTTTCCGTTGAATTCAAAGAGACCATCGCTTTATGTTCCAAATTCCCTGACTTCAGTGAATGAAATAAAACAGAAACATAATCAAAATTCTCCTGAAGGTGATAAAGGTTTTCTTAACCTTGTATACCAGTTTTGCAATTGCTTTGGTTTCTAAAATTTTATAATTACTGAGAGAAATTTTGTCAATGATACCTGACTGGGAAAACCACAAACAGCCCATGTTGAAATATGCCTTAAAGCTGCAAATTCATTAGAGCTGCAAATACCGTAAGATTCCAAGAAGATACGGCCAACGTACTGAAAAGCGAGAATATTCAATATAAAAAGTGGTGAATTCTCAATATAAAAAATTGAAGTATTATAATGAATATTTAATATGAAAATTAAGCAAATAAGCTTCTAATTCATTACCTCTGCATATGTAATTCGGTGATGACAACATGGGGCTAAAACAAAACCACACACATTTAAGCCATTTTTCACTCCATTCATTAAGCATCGAATGCCAGAATCTGTGGCAGCACCACAAAAATGCTTGCATACTGCTGCTACATTATCCACATCCTAGAATTTTCAAGGAAGAGTTTATATTTACATGTTACACTATTTAAGCGTTTTAAGCGATTTAAGCAATAAGAGTAAGTTTGAAACGTCTTGAGCGACAAGTTTACGCCCAAATCTAGCTTTAATTTGCCAGGTTCCTACTTTTTTATAGCTAATTTCTCTTTTGAACCATTTTTTTAGCAACTCACCCGAATCAAATCAGTTTTTGACAAATCAAGATGTTCCACCGAACAACGTATTCGTTCAACAAATACTAAATCCAGTTCCTCAATTTGAAATAAATTAATCTAAATTGTAAACTATACATCTTCTTAGCATAAAATTGTAAGTTACTGAAAAAATTCAAGAAGTCATGCGGATAGTGTCCACAGCACATAACTATTGATGCCGTTGAGATGCTAATACATCACTTCCTTGCATTACTTTTCATGAAAAAAGTAAACATATTATTCCCCGCGCCTACCATATTAAAAGATATTTTCACGACAGCGCTCTTACCAAAGTGAAATTCCAAATTTCAAATACAAAAAATGCGATATTTGGGGTACTTACCTTGTGAATTTTATTATCAAACTTATTCCTTGAGCCCATCTTTTCAATTAGAAGAAACCGACATTCTGGAGCAATTTTGGCCATCCAATATGAAAGCTGTGCTCTTCCAGTTCCAAAATCTATTAAACACTTGCGCTTGTCATTATTCAGCAAATCGACTACTCTTAGATGTTCTACAAATTGAACACACTGAAAATTACCATTTCAACACTAAGTAAAAGTGACTAAATAAAATGAACAAAAATGAGGAAGACAAAAAAAGACTCCACAGCGTTCCAGCTTGCATACATAAATCCTCAAATAAATCTAGAACATGAATTTGAATTGTCGAAATTACCTATTATCGATGATATCTGCCAGATATGTTTTTTATTTAGTTTTGGAAGATTTGCAGCACAGTTTTCAACGTACTCATTCCTCAAGAAGGAATCTGTAATATCATCAGCTATCCGGTCGTATATTCTTTCAATGATTCTTCTCATTCTCAACAATTCGTCATCCGTAGGACGATACCATGGCTCCAGTTCATTTGGAGATCCTTCAAATGTAATTTGCAAATGAAACCAAATTTGCAAATGAAACCCTCTTTACAAAGATATTACAAATGGAACTATAAATATCGAAATACCTCAACAGTCTACTTCATTTCATAAGTGTATCGTACATATAAAAGTTACGCAAATTAGGCAAGGAAAAATGAAAAGAATGGACCTATGAGATTAAAGTTTTCAACAACCCATGGATCTTTAGATAAACGACTATTACACCGAGAAGACAAATGTTTCTGTAGTTGTGATTTGTTCACTGTGTGGTTTGGATCGTTCGGACAGAAGATACGATCCTGAAAACTACAACGGGAACACAGCATCATTTGTCCTTCTTAATTGCAATTTGATAGTGAGCAAATAAATTAAGGGTATGGAACTTGAGAAATTAGATAGAAGCACGGTTAATCTCATTTATGAAATCAGCACATAAAAATAGGAACTTCATTTAGCTCATCGCAGACAGCATGTTCTCCACAGTATTTCTGACCATTTTTCACGAGCATTCGACATTGCCGGTTTTTCTTTTTCACAATAAATGAACATCGTTCCATGACCTGTGAAAATAAATAAAAGATTCTTTTAAAAATCAGATTTATTTTGGGACTTTTTACGAAGTTCAAATAAGAAGGCCAGTGGCAACGTATGAAAAACCCAGTATTATAAAGGTTGTATATTTGCACAGAAATATGGAGGTTTGCGTGAAGAAATTAATCAAATCGTCTTGCAGTAAGTATCGAACTGTTCTAAATTACATAAAACTATAGCTATTATCATCTATCTTGAAAACGGCCTTCATCTATCTTGACAACTGAATCGTGAAGAATAACTTGGGGTGGAAGAGCTGAAATGTTCATATCATATTTCAGTACACTATCACATTGCATTAATGTCCTCCGAAATTTTAATCATGACCATGACTATGAAGTTTTAACTGTGACCCCTACATATATACCTCGATGACCCACACCAACAGGTGCATTCCTCGTGCAAAAGTAGCAAATATGTCCATTTTGGTCTATGAAAAAGAGCATTTTTTTTGTCTCAAGCGATGAATAGCACACATAGTCAGTAGTAAAACGGATATCTAGATGTGCACCACACATGAAAAACTTCAATGAATTAAACATAAAATCACTACTGGGAAAAGAGGAACTAAAACCCCGAGAGTTCTCGTAAAATCCGTTTGCCTGCAAAACATATGTATACAGGTGCTGACATTAACGCAACCAAATTCAGGCTCACTGTGAAAACACTCCAAATCAATGCAAACAAGCAGCAATTGGCTGGGCATTAATTCAAAACTGGTTTTCTAATGGTTTTCTAATGAAGTAAGAGATGGGCAGAATAATGTTCTCACTGTCTCACTTTAATATAGGAACAGAAACACTTGGAATTTGCATATTTAAATCTCGAGAAATAAGAAGGAAATTCCGAAAAACACTGTGCTTGAGATATATATTACTAAAATAAGAATGATGCATTTCAAAACAAATAAGCATTCTTGGTGATAGGCTAGTTTGGAGGTTCTGATTTTTCGTAGAATTCAAAATTTTTGAATGGATTCAGCTTGGTTCCATACTTAAGTACAAACTTGAACCAAAACTTCCAGCTTTACGAGGTGATGGAATACTTACGTATGGCTGACGATGATAAAGCATTGCCAAAGAAGAATGGAGAGATTCAGTTCAAAATGTTACACTTCGCAACACTCCAATTCCTTGAACTACTTGGTGATATTGTCGGGAAAGCTCATCTCCGGAAGGCACTTCGCCGATGGATTTCGGTTAGTTAACCGTATTTGTCCTTTTTTTTATGAGGCTTATCAAATGCTTCTGGTTACATGTCATTTAGCAGTTCCTGACAGATTTCCCACATCTTTTAAATTTAGACAGTTCAAATTTAAGAGCTGTTGTGAGCATTCCTTACGATCTCTGATTTTCACCAGAAGACAAAATCGCTGTAATTACTTTAAGTTGAGTGTTAAACTTGAATCAATGCAGTTTTTGATCCACGCGTATATCAAATACACGCATTACGATACGGTAACAAGAGCGAAGCATTAAATACATACCAGGAGCTTCAAATAATTTGAGAGTGATTTAGTGTTGAAGAATTTCGTATTGACATTTTCGTATTCAAGTGGAACGAATTGATCAGATGATGTGAAGACTAATGACTAAAAGCGGTGATATACCAATTCCAAAACTTACTTGAATCTGATTACTGTACTTTTATTGTGGGAGTTTTATCGCGCTGTATTGCTATTATAACCATCTTATTAACACTAGGCATTAGAGTATCCCTCACAACTTAAGGATGATGAAACAAGGAACTGGTAATAAACATATATTTAATTGACAAAAAATTCCGACCGCTCTATGAGTTTTTACTAAATTGCAGTTGAATAGCGTTAAGAAGACAGTTTGAGTTCCAATCGGTGGAAGATGACACAGCGCGGAAAAGCCGACTAAACTTCTGTTTTGCTGTGAAACAACTTCCTTTTTGAATGACTTTCAACTTTTTGTTGCTTAGTTTTTCAATGATCCAACTGAATGAATTCAACTTATTTGCTCTTTAATATTTCCAGAGAAAGCTAGATCCTAATTTTAAGTTCGGATGTGAAGCAAATTTTGAATCCGAAATTTTCACATTTTTGTATTGTTTTGAATAGCGATTTTCTAAAGAGAAGTATCCAAGGTTACTCGTTTCAACCTTACAAAGAATTATTTTGTTTTGACCCGTTCTGGTTATGAATTCAAAATGGATCAGAGTAATACAAGGCAATGGCCGAGTACAACTTTTTACTTGTACGTAAGTCTAGGATATAATTGTGAAAATTGTTTAAAACTGGGGTCATAATTTTAGTTATGGTTAATTGAACTCAATATCTCCATCAATTTAATTGTATTAAATTTCTATTGAATTGGATTAATTCTTGAAGTGAGCGCCGAAAAACAAATGAATATTGGATGTTTGACAAGAGAGTGGAAAAATTTGACAAATTACAGTGTAAAATTTTAGTTGTCTATATGAAGAAGGAAAAAATGGACGACGAGGCAAATCAACTTCTTGCCAGCTGTCGGCGACTTCTTTTGAATAATGATTCATTGCTGTGTTACTCTAAACATTTTGACGAAAGGTTCAAAGGCATGGAGTTTTTTTTTTCTGTTTTTATGCCATTGAACTACTTCAAAGACTTTTCCATCAAAAAACGGTTATTTTTTTTTGTGATTTCGTGGAAATCCAAAGTGAAATAAAATGATATCAAATGCTATTAATAAACTCTAATGCATAATGTAAACGAAGCAATTAAAAAAAAAAATGTAGTTAAGAAGTCGTGAAGAGTAGACTTTTGGATTGATAAATTTGATCTTCAGCACAGACCATCATATCACTTCTTAACAAAAAGGTGAACATTTCCAATCTTTTCAGTTAATTTAAGATTTTGTAAACTAATTCTGGATTTCCATTTCAAAACAACAACATGTAGCTACATGAATGAGTACTGTTGTTTTCAAAGTAAATTTTAAGGTCCGATAGGAACGTACTTAGGTATTAACATATTAGTTCGCTGTCATATGTTGTTCATTCCTGGTCCGACGATAAGCAATCAAAAAGGAACAATGACGAAAGGAAACAAAACTCGAGATACTCAATTTCAATATTTATAATTATGTTGACACCAATCACGGACTGATCATTATCAATGTAAGCACTGATATTTGTGGTCAGTGTGACATTGACAATGGCAACAGCGGTAATGCAGTAAGGGTGAGAGTGATAGCGGCTGTGAAGAAAATAATCTTACAACCTAGGAAATAATCTCACAACTTAGGAATAAAAAAAGCAAAATTGAAATCTCTCTGATGAAGCAGTTATAAACAGAAACCGGTTGAGCTGAGTGGAAATCTCCAATTCACGGCGAAATCAAAGACTGCTTTTGTATCATTGAAAGACTGCAAACAGCATCCCTACTGATTCTCGTAAGTAAGGAAAAGTTAAAGGTCTTGATGTGAATTAATGTTAAGAAGTTCCGTAATAACAAATTTTAAAATTATCAGTGAAGTACGCAAATCTCACCTCAATCCCTAATATCAAGCTATGGATAACTGGGCGTGGTTCATTCACATTGTTCCGATGAGCACATGGTATTTTCTTGATAAATTGCCTGGAAATTACCCATGCTGTCAAATTCGTCCCAAACTCAACTTTAGACCGCGTTTGGAGGAATATTCATCAGTCATTCTGAATCTTCCCGCATACGAAACAGCGGCACTTCAAAAATATCACATAATTCTCCCTTTTTTTGCTTGGGTATCACTTCCAGCTTCGGTTCCGTTTTAATGCAGTCTGTATGACAAATGTCATCTCCCTTTTATATAATGCGCAAATATGTCTCAGCAAAAATCGAAATTTCTTCTCCGTTTTAGGATTGTTTTGTCTGTTATATATCGAACTTTTCTATTTTTTCTTATCTACAACTTTACAGTACTACAATTACTTGTAAACTGTGAGCAGTCATGTTCAGGAAAATGTGGTTTCCTCCACTGATCTCACTAATCTTGAGTCCGCTTGCGTATCCTCTGTGTAGTCATCTTCGACAAACACCTTTCAGTCAGCAAGCATCTGTTCCAAATAAACCTCTTTCCGGTAAGACTTTGAACTATCCTCTTATTATTTAATGAACTGGAATAAAAAAAAGGTGATTACGGAATCCTTATGATACTTTGAACTCATTTCATTATCAGATCAAAATCTATATAACTATTGCTGGTAGAAACAAGTCTAGTCCAACTTAATTTCGCTCAGATTGTTTCAGCTTTTAAATCTAGTATTTTCGTATCTCTTCCTCAACAAGACTTTTTTTTTAATCCAACTACTCTATAAAGACACATACTTCGTGCAAATATTTGTACCTAACTAGCTTTTATTGTGATTCTGATTTCATCTGTTCCTTCATCCTCTACGTCACTATAGATGACATGATTGCTGAAGAAACAATATAAGTGTCGAATGCAAGTAAGTGCATAACAATCGAGAACGATCATTTAGATTTTGCCTTAACAGTAAATCATATTTTACAACCTTCACATAAGCCATTTGGAAAGAATGAAAGAACCTGGGCAGAATTCAATTAAATGAAGCAAAATGTTGGAAATGATTAAAAGTTGAAAACCAAATTAATCCAACCTGAAAATTATTGCAGTAATGAAAGACTGAATCAAATGAGAAGGTGAAACATACGTATTGCCAGTTTATGAGAAAGATTTCATTTCATTCAAAAGCTAGTTTAACTTTACAGTTGCATGCAAACTGCAAAACCATACTGCATGCAGGTTTGAATCTATCACTGTGTACGGAAATGTTATCATCTATCAATGGGAGCTGTTGTACGGAGGAAGTAGAAAGTGCTATGTTAAATAGAATGAAACACGAACTGGCGGCCATCTACCAAGATAAAATTGTCGTACTGAAACAATCACTCAGTTATCACTATGAACTCCTTGATAGTATGCTTTTTAACAATTTTTATAACTTTTTTTGTCTTTTAACGACAACTTATAACATGAAGATCAATTTTATTCTTCTATCAGATGAATTGTTATTCAGAGCTGAAAAGTTTATGGGCCAAAATAGAAATTCCTCGTTGTTTTGAATTGAAAATAAATATGAACTTACTATGCCATTTAGGAAATTACATCACGCATAAGACTAAAATTATTTGACAAGACTATTTTAAATTTTCTCTTCTCGAACTTCGATCTATGCTTATTGAGTGTGCGCAGAGAAGCAAATTGCGCTGATGAATCCGTCATCATATCTCATCTAAGAAATGATAAGCACTCAGAAATTTGTCAGTTTAAAAGTGTCCGAGTTTGTTTTTCCCATCAAAGTCTTCTTTCTTTGTTCATTTCTTTCTTCCCCACCCTAGTCTATTCCATACCATTCTCCAAATCAACCACACGACGATAACTAAATTTCCCAATCTTTCGTTGTAGTTTTTTTTAACAATTCTGTAAAATTCTACCAGTCTCAATTCCCTATCAAGATACAGTAATACAGTAACTTTTAGAACTGATTATCTTTTGGAGGATCACCATGGGCACTGATCTTAAGGTTCAGTGGCGTCGTACAATACTTCTGCGGTGGTCCACAAAAACTAACTGTACAACTTTAATGATAAATTATTTTCAAGAGCAGTACAAAGAAGCAATCGATGCATCGAGGAAACAATTGGACGCAATGTTCACCCGAACTTACGGATCATTTTACCAGTCACATACACAGGTGTTCATTTTATCAATATATTCAGAAAGAGCCCATTGGAATTCATCCAACTTTTGGTTCTGAAATTTCGATTTTTCGGAAATCACTGGAAGAGTATATGAGTAAAAGGATAGCTTTCAAAGTAGATTTACCTGTAATTGTTAAACTTTTCTGCCGCTTACCGATTCAACTTTTTTACCACTAAAAATTCACCTAATATCATTAGCCATTAGGGAAACTAAAAAAAAAATCTTCAATGAATTTTCATCCACGTGCATGAGATGACGCTATTTCAGATTTTAGATCTTCATCAAATTTTTCGATGATTTGCAAGAATTTTACGCAGGACAGAAGTATATTTCCTTAAAACCTACGTTAGATCGATTTTTCTTCGATCTCTTCCGAACTTTGTTGCTCATCCTTAACCCAACGGTTGAATTTTCTTTTTATTAAAATATGGAACTTAAATTTTAGAAATATAAGGATATACTACTGAAATATGTGCTGTAAAACTAGTGTTAAAATTCCTAACAGCAAGCAATACTCTGCTGAAGCATTATCAGTACAATTTCAATTACAATTTCACAGCATCACCAATCTTATGAATTTAATCGGCAAGTCTCAATCACCGGAAAATGATACTCAAAAAATTATTGATATGGATTTTTTAGGATGAAATTAGAGAGGACAATTCCGATTGCTCGAAAAGTTCTCTTGCATTAAGAGCATTCGGCGACATACCATTGAAGATGGTTCGGCAGCTTGAAAGAAGTCTAGGAGCTGCGAGATCTTTAACTCATGCTCTGAAATCATCATCCGATATTCTCCAGGATATTTTGCAGGTTAAGATTCTACGATCCTTTTCTTAGGAAGAAAGGATTCAAATGTTATATTGGTCCAGTCGTTGCTTCTGTAAGCATGGAAACATTTCAGAAAGAACTGTCAACTGACTGTCAAATCAATGCCACCCAAATGAAATATTGTGCTCATTGCATGCCGTCAGATGGAAGGTCAACCTTCAACAAATCTCTGAAACCATGCCAAATGTATTGTTTCAATGTAATAAACAAATGTTTCGCTGATTATATCATCATCGAGAACACATGGGAGCAATTTATTGGCATGCTTTATAATTTCCATACCTCCTTTTTCATTTCATGTATTTGTTGATTTCTTTTTCATCAAAATCCTTAATCCATTCTTCCCATACAGTTTATTGAAATTTATTTCTATTCATTCAAAGATTCTGTTCCTTTTTACTTCTCGACTGCTAATCATTAATTACAGTTATCACCTTAGCAATTAGCATTAGCAATTAGCTAACGGAAATTAGGTCAACATTAAGGAATATATTTGTTATAACTCAAATTACAAATTTGCACAAACAAGGTCACGTAGTAATCCAATAGCCAACTAAATGATACAATCATAGCTATCTCATTCATTTTTGAGTTTTGAGTTACTTTAGAACATCTGCATTACGTTTTGACGAATGTACCGTCCCAGTTAAACTCCTCGTCTGAGACTATCTCTGATGCGAGTCGTTAAAATCGAGTGGCTTAACTTAAATCGAAAATTTCGAAAGATATATAATGCTCCAATTCCCGTATAAGTAAAGAACCGATGTAAAGACCATTCATGCGAACAGATGAACTCATAGAAGGACAGAGAAATAGCACGCTAAAATTTAGGTAAAAAAATAAGTAAAATATTCAAAATACTCATGAAATGCTTTGAATTTTTAAATTTGAAAGATTATTAATGCAGTGGTAGATGTCGTAAAATTTTTAATTTGACAATGAAAACAAAAGATTTTTAACCTAACTTTGGATAGATTACGCTTTGCATTACATTGTGTTAGCACTAGTAGTAACAAATGCAGCGAAGAGTTGAAAAATCAGCGAAGATTTGAAATTTGTTACTTAGCAGGACATACTGGTTAGGTTATGCAAATGACTGTAATCGGAGAATATTGTCACTATTTATTCTTATATCAAAGATTGGTCCTCAAAACTGGTGATTACAGTTTTTGAGATTTTAATTCCAAAATTTCTCAGTGATACATACCTATTTTTTCTTAGGAGCAATAAATAATTGAAACTGGATAAATATTTATTAATGATAAAAAAGAATGGAATTTAATAGCATCAATGACAGATGCCTGATCTTTTTTATTACCCCATGATATTTAGCATTCCTGTTATCCTGACATTTAACCTTCCTTATTACCCCGTGATATTTAATTTTCCTTGTTATCCTTTGACTCTTAATTCCTACTAATACCAAACTTTTGTACGCAACATAATTTAGTAATTCTCGTCAGAAAATGTTTTATAAGTCAGCAGACTTGTCTTAATGAATGAGAAATTAGCGATAATTAGCAGTGAACACAGAGAATGTGTGGGTCATAAAAATTCGGTTCTGAAACAACCATCCTCTTTGCTTCTTTTATCTTTTTAAATCATGAATAATACGGTTTCAGTACCTTAGCATCTAAACGTTTGATCTATAACACAGATATCACTTTGGAAAATAATGATGCTAATTTTGATAAATTGTGATTGTCTGTCTCAATTATCCATTACAGAAGCTTTGACAAAACTAGCAATCCGTCTACGTGGGCCATATAACGTAATGGCTGTTCTGATTCCATTGGCGGTGCAAATCTCTGAAAGCATTATGATATTTCAAGAAAAAGCTCCCATAATATCGACTAGGGTTATTTCACTTTATTTTATTCGATTATTTTTATTAATTCTACCCAAAAGATTACTGTTGAGAAGAGAATATGAATATCAACTGGAATACTGTAACACGAAAATACTGTAATCTAAAAAAAGAACCTTAACAATAGAGAATTACTAAAATTAATCAGTTTATTTTAGATAGTTTATCAAAGATAATATCTGGAAAATAAAAGTGTCTGGCAAATATGGTGCAACATGAAGTTTAACCCAATTTCTTAGCTCTAATATTTCCGACTTTTTTTGAATAATCTCTAATTTAGAAAATTTTTATGGGAGAAAAAGACCATAGAAAATGAATCCTTCCACATATCGTAAAATGTTCAAATTATGAAATTTCATGTATAAAATAATCACATTATAAGATGAACGAATTGACCTATAATAAGTAACAAATAAGTAAAGCTAATTTCAGATCGTACATAAATGTTTACGGAAAGATAGTGGACAGTCGCTGAAACGTGAGATTGCCTCATTTAAAGCATCACCGGAACCACTAACTAATTTTTCTGTTGCTCTTACAGATGTTCAATCACAGTTGCTCACTTCGTTTATCGGAAAGGTCAGTTATGATGACAAGGTCTCCCATTACTTAGCAACTTAGATTTTTCAGTTGTTGAACTTTTATCAGATTTGTTCCTCTTTAGGGCCGATTCATTTTATGTTCTTGTTTTCTAGATAGAAGAATCTCGGGGATTCTGGAAAACTGGTCCACGATTTACTTGTATCAATTCTGCTTGGTCTGCTACAACCAGTGATGACACTTGCTGGGATGGGACAAAAATAGTGAATAACTTGAAGACTGTGGTTGAAGTATCTAATGGCGGTATTAGATCAAATTTAACAAGTAAAAATAAAAATTGATTTCCGACAAATTCTGAATATTTTATTTAATTTTAATATGAGAGAATTCTAAATTTTTAATATGTTCGAATTTTCAGTTTCATCATAAGATTTCTGTAACACTAAATCATTTTATTTTCAAACTGTATTGAAACAACTCATTCAGCTCATCCGTTCGCATCAGTTTTAACATCAAAGATTCGAGCAAGCTGTAAAGCCATTATAAAATAAAACTGTAGAGTTTTCATAAAAAATTCCAGGTGTATTCCTGACTGAGAGACTGAAATTGATGATGCTTTCAAACAGATTATTAGAAAGTTATGAGGGAAAGCGACTGTATAATGAAAAAACAGATGTTGATGTCGAAGCGAGCGGTAACGGAAATTCATACATTCCCGTTGATGACGAAGATGGGGTGAGTTTTTGTGAAGATTATGGCAAGTTGAACGTCGTTGACAGCTATCACTCGCATTTTATTTTAACAAAATTATAATATTTCAACGCCCGTCAACCTTAATCAGTGCAAAAATGATATATTTAGGATGAATTTTGGGATGAGGGAAGCGGCTTTGACGAAAATCAGGCGGCAGTAGTAGTCGACGTTGCAGGTTCTCACCGAGACATCATAGAACCATTAGGTAGCGAAGAATCCGATTTGTCAAGTAGCAGCACAAGTGCAACTAAACTAAACTTCACATTGCAACTACCAGACGTCCAAATCTCAAAAATTTCACCGCAGAAGTCATTTCGTTGTGTTCTATATTTCATAATTATCTTTCATGTTTTATAGCACTGCAGGTTTTCTAGAATTTACACTTTAACTGGCGGAGAACTTATCGAGGAATAAATTCAACAGTAGTAAAAAAGATGAGGACTTGGCACTATACAATTTTCTAGAACCATCCATGTAGATAAAAGAAGTTGAAGTTCTATGACAAAGGAATTTTGAAAATTATTTTTTTTAGCGACTACATTTTTAAAAAATTTAAATGTTCTTCTTATCGGCAAGCATATTTGTGTATGCCCATTGCTCTTTTTATAATTTTTTTATTATTCTTCATTAATTTATTATTCTATAACACACTACAATGAAATCCTTCCTACCGATGTATGGAAGATTTTCACAATTTACGTACTTATTGTCAACTTTCAAATCCCGACACAAAACTGAGATCGGAAAAATAAATTATGCATATTTTGCAATTTTAAAACAGAAATACATTTGATATCAGCGACACCGAAGTTTGACAAGCTACTACTTTTTTAGACGAAGATTCCGATTTTAGGCACTATCAATAGCTAATAACTCTAACTGCCTAGTAATCACTCAGACAAACGGCCTGAAAAATCTGAAAATTTTATTCGTATACCAAAATTGAAATACCAAATTACTTCCCGAGAAAGTTCTTAAAAGGTATATATGTATGTTTTAAGAATTTCTCATTTATACTTCTCATATGCACATATACACATGTACAAATATATATATACAAAATTAAATTAGACATAAATATCATGCATGTTATGCAGAACCATTGTCGTTCTTCGCATTTATCGAAAGAACTGAAACTTGGATAAATGCCAGGAAAATAATTTGTTTCGAAATCCATCTGTCATACACATTTTACTTGTTCATCAAAGAAGAACTTCAAATACTACTCAACAAGCTTAGTACTAATTCTTCCAGAATGTGACGAGAGCATTTCATTCCCCTTTTAATTACAAACAAGCCAAGTTCAAGCCAATGTTGTCGAAGACCAAATTTGATAGAAGTTATAAGATAGGATAATTCTTCAATTTTGTCATCAATTTGATCACTGATGGCAGAATTATATGATTAGTCTCCCAAGTTAAAACTTGACTTAAAACAATATTTATTTAAATTCATTCACTGCCTATATTGTTGCTAAAATAAATACAAAGTAACAGGCAGCTAACCAACGACACTGACAACGAACAGCATACAAGCACCGACGATAGCCATAGTTAAACGTACACTGCGCCACCATATGTTACGTCTAACTTGAATTGCCTTACGTGAAAATTGTTCTGCGCGAGCTTCCATTTCGTCTAGAACATGATTGTAGAAGTAGAAGGGAATTATATCTTACAGCTGATTGAAGACATCACTTTAACGAGGCATACAGTATTAATCACAGATGTTGCCGGGAAATTTTTCAGTTCGATTGCTTGAATTTTATAAAACTAAAAAGATTTTTTTAAAACATATCGCACTTACTGCCACAAAGACATAGAATGAATATTTTCGCTTGTTTTAGATCAGTCAAGGAAAGTCAATTTAAACGATATATGCAAAGTGTGATGCTTGGGGTGTTTCTGACGTTGAAATTTCTTTCCAAATTAAAAAATGCCACAACTTAGATTCCAGATTGACTACTTTAAGAATCGGCGAAAGTCCTAGAAAAGAAATTACCGGCGCGTGCGGTTAGATTTTGCAGTCGACCTTCACGCTCAATAATACGATCAATATCACCTCGAACAATTTCTATCACTTCTTCAAGTTCCCTCTGGGTTTTATGAAGTCGGCTTGGATCTAGTGTTGTTACACTACCGATATGCGTTACTGGAAGACTAAACGATTCCATTTTTACCTTAAACCATAAAGTAAGCGTAAAAACGGGCAGGATTAGTTAAAAAGAACCAATGAGGGATAGCACATGTCCGTTCATATAGTGTAGCGTGATGGCATGCAAGTCACAACTAGAGACCACAGGTGGATATTCTAGGAGATGCTGTCCCTAAGGCCATCCCATTTAAATCATTTCCTGGTTAAGAAGCACTGCAGATCTCTGTCATCATATGGCAGGATAATTTTCAGTTCGCCAAAACTTCTTTCCGAAATAATACCGCTAAATTGTTATAACTTCGAAGTTTGTAGAGGTTGAATATGTAATCAGCAAAAAAGGTAGTAATTTAGGCAATTCATTAATTCATAAAGCACAAAAATGACAGCACGTAAAACACAACCTATATTGGTCTCTCACTCAAACTACAATGGCAACAAATCGAAGCTTCCATTTTAATCTTTCCATTTCTGTAGTGCGAAAGACAAGCAGCTCCAATTTTATATGCAAAAATGCTTTTCTGGACGGGACATCATTCTATTCAGATGTCATGTCGCGCCAATTAAAAACATCACTGGGTGTATATTCCAGTCAACAACACCCGTGAGATGCGTTGTTTCGTTGTGGGTTACTTCCCAACCAGCACTCCAGCTTAGGTTGGTTGTGTGGATAAGGACGATGTGTGGTCCTTGATGTGCGGGTAGGTACGTTGATGACCACAGCTATATAATGATAGTTTTCAGTTTGTTCTTTGGATATACTATGAAGAAAATAGGGAGATCTGGTTGAAATCCGAAAAATCTTGAAGCCAAACACGCTAGATTCATGAAAATTCGAACTTAAGAATTGTTTTCAACTTTTTACATTCCAAAATAATAGATTCCAAAATCATTCTTAGTCTTCTCTGGGAACCCTCTCATTTGTAAAAAATTCTTTATTATTGATTACTAATAAATTTATTCGTGCCGTATATTTTATCATGTCCTTTCAGTGATTTTCTTAAATCCATTACGTTTTAAATTTTAATAAGATTTTTTAAAGATTTGCCTATGGAATGCAATTGATATGCGGAAGGAAAAATGGCAGATGCGTTTGTGGATATTTCAGTAAGCGTTAAAATTCTTTTTGTTTTAGAACTGCCATATATCTTTAGCTACTTAGATCGTAATATCCGTCTTACATGCCTTTCATTTTTATTATTTTAAATACTTTTCTTTCCAGGATTTCCAGTTTCGGGCACTTCAGCGTGTGAGGATATTCGATAAACCGGATGCGGTACGATATGATGATATATGTCCGTCCTGGATTGCTGTTTCATCACGATATGGGATTATTGTTTGTGCTTCTGGCTGTGATAAATTAATATCTTTAAGAAGTAGCGATGTTCATCGACTAAACAGCAGTAATGCTGATATCAATGTAGAAGTAACCGATATCCAGACGAAAGTAACCAACCTCCAAGTTGAACAGGTTGGTTTATGACCGCAGTTACTTACTAACTTTTAAACTTTCACCAACGGTTCAAATATATTCCGAATTCTGGATAGCTACCTCTGACTTGGGCACATGGTTAAAATTTCATGATCAGTATTCAGTGCTATAACTTGAATATGACAAAACATCAAGAGCTTTCTAGCTGTTCGAATTTGTTCTCAACTACCTATCCAGAAGTTACTAGTGCTAATTTCAAGTTATTTCTCCGTCAGATTCTAATTTCATTGATATTACAATTAAGGCCAACAGTTCTTTTGTCTTGATTTATTTAAGAAATCTGTACACTGTGTCCTAATATGCTTTCAGCTTATCGCACTAACTGCGCTAGCCTGTAACTGCTCAGGTCGCGTGTTATCGCTTTCAATGCGAACAACATCTGGCGCATTCGTGTATCTCTACGATATGTGTGCTTTTGCTGTCGATCATGTTGAGCAGGTTAACTTATTTAGAGTAATGGTTATCTAAAGTTAGTTTTATCATGATTTCCTGATCTCGACATTTTTATATCGATGTTCGAGACTATCGTATTATTTTGAGGGCATAGTTATACTATGTATGTTCAAAAAGACTGCTTTGTGTTCAGTGCTGTCAGTACTACTTTGTATGTTTAGAAGCGAATATTTTGCTTCGGTTTTTAATCCTTGACTTCTAAATCTTTCTAATTGGTCGAGATTTTGTAATTGAAATTTCTAAATAGAGATTTCTTGCAGAGAGGTCCTCTTTACAGTTTGCGACTCTCTGCTGATCCAAACGCCCAGCCTTGTGCCTTAAAATGGAACCCGCAACAGGATACTATATTTGCTGTTGCTACGTCCGATGGCGTGTTATCCTGCTATTCTTTTGATATTGAGGTAGTACCAATTCTAACAAAGTTTTCCGCGAAATCCCTAAATGCTGTTTCAGCACGGAAGTCGTAATGCTAATTAAATCGAAGCGTAAGCATTTTTTTCATAATGCATTTACCGTACTTTTTTACGAGATTCTCATAAAATGCTATCTAATCATATTGTCGTGATATGAAAGTGACAACCGTTGGACATATCAAAGAGCGCTAGGAAAGCTTTACAAGCTTAGAAGAAGGCACTATTACTTATTGATTCGTCAACCCCCAATCGTGCATTGTATTAAGTTTTTTTCTTTTTTTTTTATAAGATTGATTCCTGACTGTGAACCACATACTAGGGAAGTGTCTCAGTGTTCGGACATTCTGGTTGACATAAAAACTGAAGTTTTTGCAGAAATCGTCTTCAGTAACCTTGATTGGCACAGTTAAACACGATGATTTCGTAACTTGTATAGGATGGAGTCCTAAAGGGAAGCAGTTGGTCGTAGGCGACATTTCGGGTTATATAAAGCAATATAAACCTGAAATGATCTTGGTACGCGTGACAGCACCTCCTTTAAAAGGTATATTTTTAGTTACTTACTGGGTAATTTTAACCCATCGCAATGTGACGCAAGCTGGCTAACCTAACCAGTCGTCAATGGAAAAGCTTTTAGTGATGTAGTAAACCGTCTTTTTATCATTGTAGATGTAAACCATGCTCTGCGTTGCGTCGGAATCAGTTGGCTTGCAACCACTGACATTCTCATTGCATATTCTCCCAAAACGGGACAGGAAGTAGATATAACGAAGTTATGTGTGAAAAAGGATGCACCATCTCAATGGACACATTTCAATGATATTAACTTCTGTGGCGATAGGAGCACTTTCGATCAGCGAATTGAATTTACACAACTTATGGGCTGGAAATTGGTGTTATGCTCCTCGTCACGGTCCAGTGAGGCAAGCGAATTTTTGAATAGGAAGGAAAATTAATGTTAATAATTACGGATTTTTGTCATTATTATCCAGCTTGACATCAGTAATTGATGGATAAATATTACAGATAACTATTCCTCGAATTGCTTTTTATTTCAGATAGCAGTACTAGGTAAAATCGGCTCTGAGTGGAAAGTCTGGACTTTAGATGATAATGGACGAATTGAAATGCCTCTCAACTCTGAACATTGTGAAACCTATCCAATTGGTGTTTCTGTCGATGTTTCATCAGTCCTCTCCGTTAAAATTGGTATGTTGTTTGCATCTAATATGCTTACTGAAGCTAATGATCATAGTTTTCGTAATTAGCGCGGTAAATAAATATCCATACACAAGTGATCATCTTGTGAAATACCTTAATAAATCATAAATGTATCTGATTTGCAAAACAGAAAAAAAAATGCAATTCCAAAAAGCAAATTTTTTTCGTTAAGAATATTTTCCACAACTTAGGAATTTCAAAAACAGTTAATCCATAAGTAAATATGTTTCAGGTGACGAGAGCAGTGTGGAGCATCCTCCTTGTCCTACAATCTTGGTTTTATCGTCTCGAGGAGTTCTTCTTGCCTTCAGTGCATTATCTTCTCGTGCGGAACATCAAAGCATTAATGTGTACATATCTGGTTTTCTGTTTCTTTTTTTTCAGGGAAACTTTGTTCAAAAAAGGACTACTGTTTGACTAAAAGCTGTTGCTAATAATCCAATTTTTCAGGCACATTTCTGTTCAGGATCCAGGATATTCAAATATAAATTTTTTTATTTTGTCAATATTTCGTTAACATCCAGTTAGATGTATTTAGAATTTTTGAAGTCAAATTCCGAAGTTCCAATATAGTTATTTTTTAGACAGCCGGAACGTTTGCCGTCAGAAATTTACGGGAAGGTAGCAACAAATGCTAATGTAATGCAGGACAGGCATTCGTATGTTGGTTCGTCAAATACAATATGTCAAACTATTCCTGTGTCCGCAGATTCGCTGGACTCACTTACTTCTTTTGAAAACACGTCCATTCCAAATCAGAATGTATCCCTCTTTCAAGGGCAAACAAAGGTTTACTTTTATTAAAAACCAAAAACCTGAAAGTTAGATAAAGAAGTTGTTATGTTACATGAAAATTTTCCGACGTTTCTCTGTTTTAATGAAAGGTTTAAATTGCAGTACATTTAATATTTCTGCTGGAGCTGTCTGAATAGAGTATTAGTTTTGCTGATTTTGAAAGTGAGGAATAATTTCAGATCGACACGCCGGAAACTATACAGACAGCAACAGTATCAAAATTGCATGAACTTTTACCTCGTAGTAATGTAGAAGACTCAACAGTTTCACAGCAACAGATACTGGAACATTCGCAATACCAACGGCTCAAGGCAGGGACAGATTTGATCAGAGAGTTACGGGAAGGTTTTCGAAAGAAACTCGTCATTTTTGATAAACAATTCTTTGAACTTTGTGAACGTAACGATTGGCTGCAAAATTTGGAAAAGAATGCAGCAAAACAACTGGAATGGGATAACGGTGAGTGTGGGCGATCAGTAATTCATTTGGGATTGGAAACAGGAAAAAAGAAAGCTGTTGTTTTTTATAACACATATATCTATTTTTTATGTTTCAGGCATAAATTTGGATGATGAAATGTTAGAGTTGGAGAAAGTTCGAACAGTTGTAGCATCGTGGCTTGATGCTTTAGAGAATCAGGTGAAAGAGAGTATGTGTTCAATTGAAGAACAGTTGGGGATTGCGAATAGTACCGATCGAGAACTGTTTGACAGTGGACAGATGTCAGATTTCAATAATGTAATGAATTAAAACTCGTTTCAAGCGGTAAATCCGAGCATTTTAATGTTTATGACAAAATTTTACAACACTACTGCGCTTAATTTACGCTATTTTTTAGGTGCATCGTTTGGATGAGTTAACAGAAACCTTGACAAAACTGGAACAGAAAATTGCGAATGTTGAAGATGTATTAGCAGAAATGCCAGCATGTAATACACAAAATAGGTTAATTATACGAGGAAATGCTGCTGTTTTTAAAAGACTAACGGAAAACTTCATCCTGATGAGCCTAAGAAAGCAGACAATTATAATGAAACTACTTTTGGAAATCTAGTAATTAACTGCATTTAAAAACTCATCGATCAAGCAAACAGGAGTTATTGATAGAACCTTAGTAGAAAATATTCAACTTTTGATTCATTTTGTCCATTTCTTGTTCGCAATTTCAGGTCACTTTTAACTTTGGACATTGATCAGGAACAGCAGATTGCCACAACCGCAAAGAATATCTGTAAGGGGATGGTCTCACGACGGAAAGCTTTATGTAAATTGCAACAACAGGTTGCAAGTTTGAGCACTCGATTAAAGTAAGTTATTCTTTATTGATAGCTTTTTTAGATAACATTCTCATAACAGTGTTATCCGTTGCTCCTGATCGATATAGAACCTGCGTATCCTAGATGTTCCTAAAAACTTAGTTAAATTAATTTCATCATTTTATATTATTATTTTCTTGAAATTGATATGTTTTTTTCATGTCTTTTGATTTTCTGATTTACGCTTACTTTAAAATCACAGAAATTTGATCATTATCTCACAGGCATCATGTAATTTCAGCGTCGTTTGATTTTACGCTTATAATTATATTAAATGCTTGTAATTATATACTTAGTAATTATTTCAAATTACTTTTTGCCACCCTGTTGTATGTTGTATTTATTCGTTACACCGTCCATATTGTAGCTATTTTTTCAGGCCGTTGAAAAAAGACCAGGGAATAAGTAAATTTTTCACTTCAATAGAGTCGTCACTTTCAGTTCCATCATTCAGTTATCAAACCGACAGCGAAGAATTAGCAACAAAAACAGCAGTTTTTACTGCTCGACAACAAAAAGAACTGTTGAAGTGTGTGGGAAATTTTGGTTCTTTTTTTTAAAATACGGAAGTGGTAATTACCAGAGGAAATCCACATACCTTGATTTGTCGAAATATAAAAGCTATTGTAGTATGTTAATCGCTTGGCAAATGTTGGCATTTCATTTTTCGAAGATGGAACAAATTCATATCTTTAAGCAGTGATAAGGAATTGACTTTTCTGTATTCATTTGATTTAGATTTTTGACCCAACGTGGTCCTGTGAAACGGTCAGAAGCAAAAATTATTGTGCTTGATATCCATTCACATGAAGCTGATGAAGGAATGTTGAATCCAACTATAACAGATATTGAAAATCGTTTGTTTGAAGCAGCATTAGTGCCAATAAAAACACCTATGAAACTGTTGGTTTTTGGAAATTTCAAATATTTCTTCATTTAGAACTTTAAGAAAAGAATAACTAATAACTAATAATGTATCTTAACTACCGAGCAGCGCTTTGAAATCAAATAATACGATGTGTAGTTAGTATTAAACCGCTATATTTTTCTTACAATGAGCACTTCTTTTGGCGACTGTTCCGACTGCAATTCTAGTTTGCGAAGAAATCATGGTTTTTGAGGTTAGAGGCATCAGCTAACCTTGGTCTAGGAAAAGTTTATGTCTTCTTTTTCAACTTCGCTCTTCCAATTTATGTGTTTCTTTTATTGCAGCGTTATGGATATTGGAACGCAGTCATCCGATTATTTAATTTCTAAAGGTTTGCCTTACTAAATGGGATGTTATTACATCCGCTGACTTCAAGTTTGTTATCATAAGGTGGGGATGATCATGGTAAATCTACTCATGACAAACGATAAATCTGCTCAGAATACACTCTTTTATGTGTGCGCGAAATCTAAAACAGTGGGAAGATAGTAATTATGTCCATGTACAAACACATTTTTCTAATCAAATTAGTGAATGAGATTCTAGAGATTCTAAAACGAAACTACAGTTTTAAAGACCACAATGAATAAAAGTATTACCTCACTACTAAACTACCAAAGGATCAGTTCACAGAATATTATATTTTTTTGCTTTCGAAGAATAGTTTGTCATTCTAGAAACGAAATCGTCTACAAACATGGCCACTTCCGGTCCTATTATTCCCACAAGTATTATGCGCAGTGGAGCCAGTAAACCGCTAACAGTTCAGGCAGGTCTCTTTGTCATCTGTTTTTTATAGTCTCCTGAAAAGTAAATTTTCCAGAATCTGTATTTGAATTTTTTTTTTGATAAAGAATTGTCTCTTAGTTTAAAATGTTAGATCCTGCAGAGCCATATTTGGAGTAAAATGTTAGAAATATGACTTCGTATTCGCACTACCTGTACAATTCGAATGCAAAATCTATTAAATCTGCAAAATCTGTTAGGAGCTTTGTATAAAATATTGAAGATTTATATTGTGTTTTCAGTTCAATCAGTTCCAAAACTTGACTGAATCAGTTATTAATTCATCGACAACTCTACCTCCCTCTCTCATGAATTTGAGCAGTCCTACTGCAGCCACACCAACCACCTCCAGCTCTTTTACTGCAGAGGCTAAACAGCTTCCTACCGCCGAATCATTCACGAATGTTCCAGAAACAGTGGCGTTGAATCAAGAGCAGTCTGATGATATAGCATTTTCATTTAAAAATTTGGATGCTTCATCGGCAGAAAGGAATAACGTTTCTTCTCGAAGAACCGCTTCCTGCACTGTCATTACACCGAGCAGATCTGGTTATGTCAGTTATAGTTGCTTTCCGTCTAATGTCCTCTAGAAACAATTTCTCCCCGTGATTTGTAAGCAACAAGTGTATGTGGTCGCGATGGTCAGTACGATATTCACGATGGCTTCTAGCTGATACATTAGTTTTGAGCAGTGATTTTGCCGCTGAATATAGCTATGCAACCCTGTTTAACAAGAGATGTATAAATTATAAACTTTTACCTTCCTAAACTTAAAGACATTGAATTTTTAGACTTCTGCTGTTACACAGAAAATTTTTTCAATGGAAAGCAACGGAAATGATACGGCATCAATTGGATCTGCTGCAACATCGGAATCATTGACAAATACTTGTGTGGCCATAACTTCAAATTCAACAACAACCACGAGAACTGACAGGACTTCGATACAAAACTCTGAAATCTCAAGAACGAGCAGTGGAATGGCAGTAGCAGATTCATCTGTCTCGACGACAACATCCAAAACACCAGGTTCCGAAACGAATGTATCGTTCACTTTCAAGTTACCGGCAGCAGAAAATCAACAAACAACTTCTGCTCCAGATGGGGGTTAGTTATTTTTTTCCTGAAGTTAAGGAACTCACTGTGGGAAACATTATAATATCGATAATATTATGTTCCTGTGATGCTTCCAAAACCGAAAGAAAATGGGAAGACTTTGTAAAGGCTTGTGGAACAACATGTCTTCTAGTAGCGGCCGACTAATGATAAGCGGTATTACACTGAACACTTTAATGAGTGTGCCCTACATTGAACCATTTTATTATGTTCATCCGTAGTTAAGCTCTGATCTGTTCGAATGCTCTAACCTTAAGTGAAAAATATGTTTCTTTTCGCAACTTACCCGAAGTTCCAGAAATAAAAAAGCACAATCTGTTTTGTTACTACTAACACGGTCATTATTCTTTTTTTCAGGTTCAGTAGGTGTTACTTCTACAAACAAGATAGTCGAGTTGCATTCAAAAGATTTAGATACTACAGGGTATGTTTCCTCCTCACTAACTTGACGGTATTTGAAATTCAATCATAAAAAACGAAATGTTAGTTACAGCGAAGGAAATGTTCGTTGCATTTTTTTTATTAACTTTAAGTTAAGTGTGCTGAAAGGTTTGGTACCAAACTTACGCAATTGTAGTAGAGTAATTTAAAAAGAATTTCAGTGACGATGGGATGATGGAAGCAGAGGGTACTTCAGTTGCTCCAACAACTTTATTCTCATCTTCGCTATCCTTGTTAGTATTTTTTAAGGCATCTGTTTTCTCTGTTTTTTATTTTTTTATTTTTTTTAGACTGTTTTTTTTAATCTTTAACTTTTATTAAGTAACTACTTTTCTTTCAAGCTGTTCCATTGGTGTTTTTAAAGTGTTGTCTCTATTTTTCGCGAGAAAAAAAAAGGAAAACAAAGAAATCGGAATTGGAAAAAAAATTTTTTAGTGGTTTGGAGAGTGCCATATCCAATGCCAATGCGACACAAAACGTTTTTGGTTCTGGACTCAAATTCCTTTCATCTGCACAGCCTCAAACAACTTCACTCTTTGGTAATGCTGCTTCTGGAAACAAGGGCACCTCAGTATTCGATGTTGGTGGCTCATCAACTTCTTCTGGTGGTGCTGGACTCTTTAGCCGAACACAGCAGTCGAATGCAGTATCGTCAGCTTCGTTTTCGTTTAGTTCAACAGCTAATTCGCATAATTCTTCTAGTCTTTTTGGGACAAAACCAACGAGTAAGTACAGTTTAATGGTCCAGAATAGTTTCGAAATTGGAATTACGATTCAGTATTTAGGAAAAAAAATATTTAAGCCTAGTCAGTGCTTTACATGGTTTAATCGATATGATAATATGCTCCCTTTTAAAGTTAAGTGTGCTGTCATAGTTTTGCATATTTTTCACTTTCCTGAAACTTAAGGAATGCATTGGTGACTTATCATTTTCCAGAATTTTCAAATCTTTTAAAAGCTATGCGTTTTTCAAAATTTTTAGCTACTGGTATTACATTTGGCGGTGCACCGTCATTTGGTTCGAAACCAGTATTCGGATCTCCATCACCACTCGTTTCATCATTTGGTCAACAACGTTCTCAACATATTGCTCCTACAACTACTGGGTTTTCTAAGTAAACTTTTGCTACTTTAACGTGCTACTTTTATCCTCTCCACTGTTTTATCTTTAACTACTCTATCAGATCTATTTTCATGAGTAACTTGCAAGATCAACAGAAATACGGACTTCATCGTAGTGTGAGACTATCAGTGATTTGTTAATGAAGTACAAAGGGGTATATATCTAGAGACTTTAAGCAAGCCAATTAAACACTGTCATATTATGACTAGCAAGGACTGGATCATTCAGTTTTCATTAGCTTTTAGTCCCATGTGTTAAATGCAACAGTTTGACAGTCAGCTCAATTGTCTGCTTTATGAGATCTGTTCACGCTAGTATCCGATTTGTGTACCGTTTCCAATGTGATATAATATAAATGTTCCTTTTCATGAAATTGAAAAAATCTAAGCAGACAAATAGCATTTACAGCAATTTTTTGCTCTAGAATTTTGGAGAATTTTGGAAATTACTACCTATTATTCACTGATATGAGCAATACGGCTCGTATAAAAAAATTAATTCTAGCTTTGCTAAAACCAGTACTGTTGGATTTGGTTCACTGGCTGCAAGCCAGCAACAGCAGTCGTCGGTTTCTGTATTTGGTGGGAGTGGATTTGGTGCTCTAGCGCAGCAACCTCAAAAAAGCTCAATATTTGGTGGAGGTCTAAATTCATCCGTAACTAACAGGTTATTTATTTGCATTACGATAGCTATATTTTCTGTGTTTCAGATTGGAATTAATCGCAATATGTGCAAACCATTTCAGTAAACTATAATATTTAGTATTCATTCAAGCACTCAGCGAGTTGCTACGTACTTATCCGAAACTTTAGTGGTTTTTAGTGATTTCAGTTAAAACTTTAATGGTTTCAGTTAAGAAATCTTTCTCCCAGTCTATTAAATTTAAAATAAATACTGGCTTTCTTTGCGCCATTTTAGTTCCTCGTTTTCTACGTGGCGTTAGAAGATTGATGAAGGAGCTACTGGAAGAAGGCAGTTGAAAAATTGATAAAATTTCAATAATTGTATTCTTTACGCTAAATTTTATATGTTTATAAATGTTTTAGTTGCATTGATTGTACTCCATATTGTGTTCATCATATCAGGCAATAAATTGTTGAATTTCTTCACTTTTTGTTTGAATTTTAGAAAATCGATTCGTCAGAGCCGAAATTTCAGAAACATTCTACTTCTGTTTCCTTTATTATTCCTTCAAGCTCATACGTCCTTTTCCTATTGCTATAGAACAAATCTTGAATTCACTGGCCTAAGTTGACAAACTTTAGTGTTCAATGTTTGGTAGTTGTTTGTAATTTAAATTCCGATTTTCTTACCTAATCTGAAAAATCTTCGAAAAGATTATTTTATGTCCTGGCATTCGATGTTTCCGCTTTTATAATAAGTCGTTTGCTATTCCCACTGCTTATTTATTATTGGGTTCTTCCTTGACTTGGATGTAAGAATTGTTGATTACTTTGAGAATGTATAAGGCACTTCAAAATATGCAATAGCGCATGATATGTGGAACATACAAACTTTGAATTCATTGGAATACATAAGTATCTTATTGTAAGTGTAAAGTAATGGATTTTTTGCTGATTTATTTACTCATCACTCTTTTATTCAGTAAACTTGGGAACGCCAGCATTATGGGAATACGGAGGCTGGGATAAACAAATGTCTGGTAGAAACTAGGAGTTTTCAATCTACAAAATCAAGGCTATCTGTAAAGAAATGAAAGATGGAATTCCATGGTTTCATGGAATCTATAGTTTTATCAGAATGAATGCATGGCGAATTCCTCAATGATTCCTTCCCCTTATCATTTCTTACATGTCAAGTAGGAATGCTTTCCAAACAATGATGCGACAATTAAGTGAATGCGTTTCAATTGTATAATTAAAGAAATGAGTGACCCCAGCGTCACCTTTTCTTAACTAATTCTCAATTGCATCTTTGTTCATGTTGCTCTTTTCTTGCCTCGTATTTTATTGCGCTTCCTTAAATTATGCGGAAGGATCAGAAGTTAAGCGGTGTAATGTGTCCCATTAACGAATCAGCTGCGTGATTTTAATCTGTGAAGGACGTGTTGGTGGTGTTGATTCTTCCTATCATAATTGCTTCCTTCAAGGCCAGTTTAAAGAATATTTCCGAAAACTACAATGAATTTTATAAAGGAAAAAAAATAAAGGATGAACCTCAAAATTGGTGAAATTTTGGTGTACAAACTTGGAAATAAGCGAAGTATTCTTCAAATACTCCGATTATATTCTGAAGAAATCGCTAATTACACGATAAATCAGAGTTTATTAGCGCCAGCGTTGAAAGATTGCGTAAAAAAGTCCAAGAAGTTGTTGATAAATATAGAAAAACGAAATACATAATCCATCATTAAAAAGTAGTTGCAAAATTCATTCAGATTTAGGCGATGAGATGATTCTATAGAGTGAGAATATGGGGTGAAGGATTCAGGGGAGTGTTAGATGGTAAATTCTTACGGGGAATGTTAGGTGGGTAAATTCTTACCTCTGTTAGACCAAATTTTCGCTTATTTTACAAGGTTGCCTTTGTATTCTGTACAGTTTGATTTTAGATCACAAATTTCATAGTGAAAAGTTTGAATATGATAGAAAGGATAGTTTAAGTGTAAACAAATCAAATAGTAATTAGTACAATTGTATTGAATCATCTGCGACGTCATATTTGTTATCTGTAGCACCTCCACCAATGGTGTGACCTTATGCTTCTGTTTCTATTACTAAATCTCCTCTCGTCTTTAGTGATATTTATGAGTTAGCATTATTCTTTTTGCGTATAAGTTAAACAGATTTTATATGAACGGATGAATAGCATAAGCATGGCACCGTGACGGAGATGGTCGAAAGTGTAATGGTTCATTTTGATTTGTTTAATGAATGCATTCTATTCTGTATTAACACGACTATTCTATAGTAGATATAAGTGAATGTGGAGATTTTCCCGCATCACAAACATTATACTTTCTTTTAGTACAGTAATCTTTCCTTAAGTAAATTTCAAGAGTTAGAGAATGAAAATGATGTAAATATTTTTAATTTACATAGACAAAACAATGTCCTACTCAAATTTTTTTTTCTCCTATTTATTCTTGAAATGAAATCGTAATTTTAAGGAAACTTTTTTTTCTGTCTTACACAGGTCATTCCATCTCTGATAAGTTTTAATAATTTTTGTCTTTAAAAATTGGTGTGAGAATTGTTGCTAATTGAGATGAGTGATTTTTAAAGTCAGTTTGCTGATGTGGGTAGTTTTCCGCTTTCATCAACAGCTATTTTTATCCCACCAAAGGACCTGCTACCAGTTTCTTTCCTTTTTCATTTTCATTTTCCTCTCTGATTCCAATAAAAAAATTGCCGTTCACTTTCGATATGAACAACAGTTTTGGATGTTTCGATGTGAATTTCCTTTCTCTACAAATAAAAATTAATTTGTTGGTCGATGTACTATTTGTCATTAATTTAATTATTCCATTTTAATTTAAGTCTGAGCTCAACATTCATCTGAAATATCAGATACGCCAAGTTCACAATGCATATTAAGAATTCAGAACAAACCATGCTGCCGATTGTTAAGCAAACTGGGTCTCACATATCTGATTTGAAATAATTAAACAACCGGGATGATTGTGAGAATGATATTATATTGCATTTCCTCTCCATCGATTTCAATTCAATTTATTGTCCATCAAGTTTCGAGGACCCTTAGTGATATGTCTTTCTGGGTCATATCCTAAAGGTCAGCGAAGACTGATGTGGCTAATATTCTCACTTTATTTCTTATACTTTTCATGTCGTAAACAAGTCATTTTGTAGCTTTATTTGTGGCTCAATTGAATTTCAACAACTATGTAATATCCTTGCAAATATAGTAGTTATTACATAACTTATTGAGAAGCATGATATTATTTTGAATGTTAATCATATCGGTTTTAACTGCTTTCATTTTAGGAACAAAAGCTCTTGATTTATTTAGCTTTTCGTAATAGCGTTGAAATGAAGTTTGAATCCAAAGCATACAATCAATAGTAATGAAATGTGTTACTTGCTATTTGATTTCAACTGTCAGAAATGGGTCACGAATTTAAATTTAAGCTTGACGTGCTAATTTGAATAAGCAGATAGGTTTGGTAGGTGTGGTGGGGGGTGCAAATTGGGTAGAAGTATTGTGTAATTTTATGTAAAAATTTTTAAAGTGTCCGTAATTGTTTTTATATTTCAAAGATTCCAAAACTTGAGTATTTTTATTTCTTTGATTACTCTTTTGAACTGTTTGTATTTACGATTTGATCATTTTCAAAAAGAGTCCTAATTTTGAAAATCTGTGAAACTCAAAAATCGGATGGAAAGTGAGTGGCGCAAAATCCTTTACAACTGATGTGATGCGGTGGATGTTGTAAAATGCCTGCGACATTGTCTTGCTCCGAATTGTTTTGTCTGGTTTGCAACAAAATTGTAAAATTCATGCAGTGATACGAGTTTTACACTGTCTTGGAAGGTCTTTTTTTAAATTTACACAAGGATGGACTGGTTTACTGCATCTGCAATCGATCGAAGATATTTGAATCATTGACCAGTTCCGCATATTTTTATTTGAATTTCCCATACTTTTGTTAATTTAATTATTTGGACATCAAAAAACGAAAGAGGCTCAAAGTTGCTGTTCTCAATACATAACCATACCATACATCTTCTATTGGAAATCTATCGTAAAACGATAGGCATTCTTCAGTGGTACAATTCAATCAAATCATTTAAAAAATTTTGTTCACTGATGCTTTCTTATTCTCCTTACGATATAACTGCAATCATTTGAAGAAGTTGAAAATCTAAATCATTATCGTTTTTAGGAGAATGGAATATTACAAAAAATTTATCCAGTTATGGCCACCGAATAAATATTAACATCACTGATCCCATCCGTCATTCAGTAGTTTTAATATCGTATCATTCATTATATATCACCGTTAAGGATGAAGCAAAAAATCGAGAGGACAACCATAATCTTGCTTATTTACACTCTACTTTTAATGAAACTTCATCAGACTGAACAGTAAGTTAATTAGCTATTTTCCTCTAACAATGCTTAATTGTATTAATAAAGGTTTGGCTTCTTAATAACTCATTATCTCATCTGTAGTATATATTTCACAGAAGCAACACAATCTAAACTGGTCCACTGTTACAGATATATATTAAGGAATGAATAAGTTTCCCATGTACAATTCATTAATCCATTTCAACAAATTACACAATAACATTTGAATACTTGTTAAGGTGGCATTATGATATAACGGGAAATCTCAGTTCATTGGTTTACAGGAAACCTTTGGTTGTGACGCAGTCAGCATTAAGATGGAATGCAACCAATGAGATGCTAGTAACTGCCTGCAGCTCCGCGAATAAGCTCGTCGATATTAGTGTAGAAATCCATACTTTCTACCCTTCCCTCTTAGTTTTTCGGCAAATACTACAGGCAAAAGTTGCTGGTAATTGATCTCCTTCCTTAATTTCCGTTTTTATTTCCGGAAACAATATATTTCCTTTTCATTTATGTTTGAGCTATAGTAAATATGTTAATTTGAAGATTGAAAGGGAAGGACAAATCTGTAATTACTGATGTTAGTTGCAGGGTCATTGAATCGTGTGAAGTTCTTTGTACCGGGTGGAGTCGAACGGTCGGACTTCTACCGATTAGTGGTTCGAGCTCAGGACGACAATGAATCTTTTGAAGAGATAATACCGGGTGCACCTGATCTAAGGAATATTTATTTACAGACTGATAAAACCGTTTATAAACCAACTGACGCTGGTATATGAATTTCAAATACTTATTTAGAGTTCACCTAAAATTGAATAGCACCATCGACAAACTTCACCATTTAAAGCATTACTGCTTCTACATTTTGCTATAATAAAACAGAGGATAGAGGAGAAGATCACGTATTTATAGAAAAGAGACTTCAAAATATATTTTCAATATTTTTCATTTCTCATAGCTGATGCTAAGCACATAATAAAAATATCTTTAAAAAGTCTGTTTTTAGTTAAACTACGGGCCTTGCCACTTACCACAAGCGGAAAGTTGTACGGTGGATCACTGGATTTTGCACTTGTGGTATATTAAATTGAAATACTTCTTAAATGTATTTAGTCAAAATACGAATTGTAAGCTATTTCTACGTGATAAATAGCGCAATAAGACCATTCGTTCAGGATAGATTATTTTGCATAAAATAAACATACTTGTTTTGTATTAATAGCAATGCTAGCAGAAATATTTAAGTGGGAGTTTAATATTTTTAGAATCCAGATGGTTTTGAACTGATACATAAAATTAGGCCGACTTCTAACAATCGATTTCTTGCCGTAGAATTTCAATTACCACATCACTTGGCTTTTGGAGAATGGAAAATTGTGGCACGACCAGATCGCCAAAAACAGCATATCTATTCAATTACATTTCAAGTTCAGAAATACGGTAACATCCCTTTCTTTGATATGGCTTCTTAAATGCTAATAAAAAGGTAGTTTAATAAATTTACTGGAAAACAAGATGATATCTTCTAAATATTGAATTATTTTTAGTTTCGATAGGCCTCTGGCCAGCTTATCAAGAAAATACCTATCTGCTTTTTTTCCTCAACAGTTCAGTTCGATTTCATCAACTGGAATAGGCTTCCCACGAAAATTAAAATCTGCTTAAAGATTCAAACAGAATGTGGAATTTCTTAAATGATGATATCAGCAAGTTTGATATCTGATTATTGTTAAGAACATATCTTCCAGAGCTATCACAATTTCGTGTTCATGTCCTGGCCAGAGAAACTGACGATCTTGATTTATATGAAATAGATGTGCTGGCAAGGTAAAATTTCTTAGGAAAATATCAATTAGTTTGAATAATTATCAGAAGTAGGATAATATTGATCCAACAAATTATTTGCAGCAGTGATCATTATTTGTACTCGAATTTATAAATTTATGGTAATGACTTACATTAATGGTTGGGATTTCTTTGGTTTTTGCAAACAGTGACAAGTTGTTAGTTCGAATTCAAATTTAGATATGCTAATGGCCGGCAAATATCGGGAAAAGTATCGATTTGGTGCGATTGCGATGCGAACAATAACAAATCAGTGATATCATCCGATTCTGGGAAATCATTTCTGTGCATCCTGAAGTCGTCCAAGGTTGGCTTTTTTAATTCGTATGTTTTTTTTTAAATTCGTATTTTAATTCATATGGTTTTAATGCATACAAAACTGTCACATTCATATGTGGCAGTTTTGAACCTATTCAAGACTTTTGTTCTATCTCTTTTCTCTCATAATTACGTTACGAATTTATTATTCAACATCGTTGTGCTTTTGGTTGGTGTGTCAACTGATTTTTCATTTACAAAAGATTTCAGACAAGCATTTACTTTGATCAGCTTACAAGCGAACTTCATTGTTTAAAATCAGTTCACAAAGCAGATAAAACTGCCCTAGTTTTTGTTTTCATATTTTCTAAGCTATCAGATTAATCTACTACCATTTCAATAGTATTTCTAAATTTGATAATTGCAACTGATCACTTTTTTCTTTTTTTAAATTATCCGAACTAAACTATTGTAGTTGATTGAATTCTAGCCGGCAATAGTAACAGTAGCAACACTGAGTACAAACAAAGCCGCCGTGTAAGTGTTTTTCATTTCCCTTCAACTCATAATTCCTTTTTGACACATATACGAGGACACAATGATAAAATGGAAATTGTTTGATTGGGAACTGATAAGACTTGAACTACTGAAAAGCTGGTTTAGTTAGTTCATACAAATCGAATAAGTCTTCTGAAATAAAAGGTTCGGTATTCGATGAAAACTGTCATATACGGAATCATTGTTCTTAAAGGCACGAAAATACTCTTTAAAATGACGTAATAAGGGGAAATAGAAGACTTTAAAAAGTGAAATTTGTATCGAAAAGAAAGTTTTTCTTCACTGCCATTATCTCACTAATTCTAGCATTCCCTGCAGTTTTAAATCATATGCGATAGACTCATATCAGAACATTGCACTCATTCACGCAGATGATTCGACAGAGATCTAAAATTAAATTATCATCTTGTATATATATATAATGTACCATAGATGTTTTGAAAATTAGAGGTGAATTGATTGAAACTGTGTGGTTTTAGTCTTAAGTTCATTCGGAAGGCATGAATTGAGCAAAGAAGAAAGCGGTTAACTCGAAAATAAACAGTTTCAGGTCATTTAAATGTAAAATGGACATTGCAATGCACGCTTAACTATCATGAAACTTTTTGCAGCCGCATTATTTTTTCCTGAAACAATTACTAGAAACAAATTTATGACTACTGAAGCAGAATAGTTTTTCAGTTGCTTTCTCTAACAGAAATTTTGGTGCAATTTTAATTTAAATCACTTCAAGTGTTTTACAGGCTAGAGTACGCATGTTCATCACTAATTAACGATTACAAGAGTTTTTTCCTCTTTCCTTTGCAGGTTGAGGTGAATAGTAGCACTGTTGTGATTTGCTTCGTTTAGTATCAAGCATATTACTCCATTGATAACAACATTGATAACAATACTTGATTACAAATATTTAATCAGCGCAGTTTATCGATAATTGGAGTAGTGGATTGTCTCCTAATGACAAATAAATCTATCTGATTGTCAAAGCAATAGGATAAATTGATATATTCAAACGAAAGACAGTATAGAAAAATTATTACTAATTCATTTGACTTGTAGCAAAATAAACAGATATCTCAAAGTGATGCATCTTTTGGATATATCTTTTGTCTGAAAAAATGAAAATTGCGCCATTAGTAAGATAACATTGCTTTAATGATTCAATCGGAGAAGATAGTAAGCAACAGAGAATGGAACTGAATCTGCAAAATTTCCAAATCTCAAAACTTTAAATCTAAAATTTAAAGTGTATTAAAGTGAAAAAAAAATTGAAATTTGCAATAGTGATGAGAAAATGTGTCACTCTTAAAACTCATTCTATTCAAAAGGGAAAAGATTCCAAGACTTAATGAGAAGAAGGATCGAAGTATTGTAGTCTATTTTAGTCTTAGTTCGATGAGATTGAACTGGATTAATAATTATTGTAAACGGTGCGACGATAATTAGCTGATATATCATAACACTAAGCCTTTAATGACATTTAGATGTTTGACTTACTTGTAAACAGTTTAGTTATGGTTGGAGATCTTAATTATTTATCAGTACAATGATTTTAAGGCCAAGCATAAAATACCAATTTCCGACTCTTTCCGCTAGGCCATGGTCTATGTTTGAAGGATGTGCTTTTTATTGTAATTTTTTGAAAAGAACTGGTTATCCATTGACAGGTAGAGATTTCCTCAAAACCTTTGTCTGAATTTGAGGCCTAGCAAATATAATATAGTAGTCCAGTATTGGTTTCACATAAGGAATATTAGATAATTCAAAACAGATCTCTTCCGGTAATCTTTACCGATAACAAAAAAAGATAATCTTCACTGAAGATCAAGTAGTGATGTTATGATTACGGCAGATCTGAATTCGGCAAACATTTAGAAAGTTTATTTGAAATTAAAAAGGTAGCATTCCAATAGCTTCAGTGTGTTTACTGTGATTGATTGTGACGTTACTGAAAGATTTCTCCTCTCTTAATTTTTTTTTTTTTTTCTAAACATTACCACTAACATTACGTAGAAAGCCATAACCGATTTGCATTTTAGAAGACATGGAAAATTAGTTGTGAATTTTTAATCGCTCTTTCAATTTCTCTTTTTGTTCCCTTTTTTTACTATTTTTTCCTTTTCTTTTAATTTTATGCGAAGGTGATTAGAATTAAAGAGACCTAACTTTGCATTTATCAAGTTATTTTACAGAAATAACTGTAATTTTTCGTTTATTGTGCAAGCTGCCAGCAAGTCTAAGGAATAATGAAGAACTTCAAGATTAAAACTTATGTATTTGATAGTTTTTTTTGAATATTTTTTATTTTCCCGAAATCATCCTCATCAGGGTCAAGAATTTCTCGGAAAAACAAGGTAATCTTTGTTCAGTAAAATTTTTCCCTTTTGATTCGCTGTATTCCAACATTTTGAGGCTTTTTTAGTTTCCGTGTTCAATTTTAGAAAAAGTTATTAAATCGAATTATTAAATTCATTTCCCAAAGAAAATAATGGTACTTTAGGTCTCTCTAAAATCATACATGAAATAATGGACAAAAAGTTAAAAATCGAAGCAAAAGGATCGCTACAATTTCGTATAAGACTTAATCGCTTCTTTCGAAATTCTCATACTTATCTCATCTGCTCTTTTATCGGTGTCAGCTATCGGTTCTAATCGTTCATTTTATAACTGAAAGCATTTCGAACATTAATGCAATTTTATCTATATCTTTAGATGAAAATGCAAATTTCATGCAATTTCAGCCAGAACAAGTACATAAAAAACTTGAAGAATTTGTGGTTATTGTTATATTTATTGGAAAAAAAAAAAAAAAACTGCTCGGTTGGTATGTTTTGCTGTTTCTGAACAAAGCAGAGAGGTGAAGAATGCATATGTCATGCTTAAGTACTTTTCTGCCCAGTCATCGAGCAAAATCAGTAACACTGATAATAAAGATTACAACTTATTCCAAGCAAAGATATCCGATTTCATGGCAATTTCAGCAGAAATCAATGATTCGACAATATTAACCGTTTTAGCTGCTTAGCACTATGGGAACTATTGGAAGCAGTATGGTCGATGCCATTGATATTCCAATTCTGAATCTTGATCAAGGCGCAATTGGTGAAAATATTCGAGATTTGACTCTCACTTTAGGACATGCTCAAGGAATAGGTGACATAAGCACAGCAATTGAATCATCTCTATCAACTGTGTCAACGGATGTTGGTGGATTGTTTTCTCATCACTATAGCAATATTGTATCGGTATTCTCTAGCGGAAACGATAACGATAATGATGGTGATAATAATGATAGCAATGATGAAAACTATGCTGATAATGCTGGTAATGAATCAGCACCATCAACGTCAGGGAATTATCTGCACGAATGGACACCCCAGTACAGCTCAACGTTGTCCATATTTGCAACATTGTCATCCGGAAATTTTTTGTCTGAAAACGAAATAACACAAGTCTTCTCACGGTTCGTTAATATTACAGAGAGAACGCTTGAAAAATGATGAGTTTGTATAAAATCAAAAATTTGAAGATTCAGATGTTTTGAAAGCTATTGAGATAAAACTTAAAAAAGCATACTTTCATCACCCTGACTCTACGGATCAATCTGAAACAATAGTGAGTGTCTTGAGACAATCTCTTTTCATGTAAAACTGACAGTATCCGCAGAATGCATTTTACTTGTTCTAGCAAATATTTTAGAGGTGGAAGGTCACTCAAATCATAACTTACAAAGTCTTAATAAGCACTGGACTCAGATAACTTTTAAAGACTTGAATCAAATTTCACTTGAAATTAAATTAGAATTTCTCCGTCATCCTTCATTCTAGTTCTGTTTTTCTGCCAATAAAAACTTGAAATTTCTTCTTTACTTCATCATTTAGAAGTTAGATTAGAAAATTAAGGAATAATGCCTAGAGTATAATTTAAGCACTGGAAAAGAAGGCATAAGCATTGTTGGACTTCGCATCAGATGATAAAAATAACACATTTATAGAAAACTGAACAGCGGGAAATCTTGTTTTACTACTTGTAAAGAATTAAATTAGTGCTAGAAATTTGCTTTACAAGTAGGAATTCAATTCCGCAACTAATTAAAAAAGCCATCCCACGTACGTTTCGTCTAGGTACATGTATAGTAGCAAAATGGAAGCGCTTACAATACAAACATTTTATTACTTAAAGAACAAAAAGCTGCCACAAATTTGAGCTTATAGGTATGGAAATATAAAAGAAGTAAAATGGATTCAAATAAGCGACAATAACGGTTACATCATTGTGTTCAGTAATGAAATTGAAAGAGAGAATGCTATTAAGGTACATAGAAACAACGATATCAACTTCAGCTTCAAATTTCAACTAAATTTCACAGTTAATTCCAGGCTGTTTGTCAATATCAGCTGTTATTTGTAAAGTGCAGTTTAGACAAACATATGAAGAATGTAGAGATAGTTTTTGCTTGGTCAGCTACAGGAAAAGGATTGATCGAGGTAAATACAGGCTGAATTGATTTCCTAGTGAATGTGTTAAGTGAACACGAAAATCTGGAAAAAAACTGAGGTGTTCAAACTTTACTTTCACTTTATGTTCTGTTGCAATATTTCTCATTACGTCTATTTCAAAGTTTAAAAAATGATTTCAAAAAGATATGTGGCAGTAAAATGGAGACAAAAGGAAGAGTGCTGAAATTGTGGAGTTTCAAACAAGCTCGTCTATTTGTGAATAGCAAACTAGCTGCTGTTGACAAGACGAATTGCACCTCCCAGCAATGTAAACAGTTTGTTCCGAAGTTGGAAAAATTGCGCACTTTGCGGTAATGACAACAATCAAAGAATAGAAGAGGGGATGAAAAAATTGTCTTTGTGAATTGGTAAGGGGAACAGTATGGTATTGCAATTGCAGGGAATATGGTATGAGCATGTAAATAGTTCCTTTTCTCTATTTCAAACTCTCTCTTAAAGAAGGTTCGGAGGCTTTTCCAAAATCGATTAAGATGACAATCTACAGGAAAAGGTCAAAGTGGACAATGACGTTAGGAAGATTAGGGTCGAATTGTAGATCCATACAGCAGCATGTAATCCTGTCATCTATTTCCTTACTCTGTCTACTATACTCTCAATGTTAGGAAGTAGATTTTATGCAACTTTGTAAGAATTATCTGAATTAATAGTTGAAGTATTTCATAAGGCATTGCAAATTGTTTATACTAAGAAGTTTAAGCCTAACTCTTCATATAATATATAATTGGCATATCTTGGAGCAGTCAATTAAGGGCATAGGTAAAAGTAAAGGTTGGCACTTGCAGTGACGAAAGATAAGGACGACAATGATTCATATTTTATTGGTGGCGCAAAGTTACTTGGGTTCACTAATACGCTCCGTGGAGATTCTAACAATGGTACGAGTAAGCATCAGATTCCATGTCATCCAAATGCTTCAGTGATGACTCTCAACGAAAATATGCCATCCCCGGAGCGACCGGGTACCAGGCCATCACCAGCCACTGCTTTTTTGTTGAAACGAATTTCTGAAGCTAACATGCTTGAGGTGCGTGGTGATTTCGAATTTTTTAGCTTACCTCTTCTCTACTGCGCGCAAACGTCACTGTTTGCTGCAAGATAATTTTTCCATGAACTATGATTAGATTTTAGACAGATCAGTTTTACGAGAGGATATCACGTGATAGTGGAAATGAGAAGAATCGTTTTCTAAATCTACCAGCACCGTATCATCTGTTACCTGACACACCTTACTTTCGTCGTGCGCCAATTGTGCCTCCACCAACAAGGTTACAACATGTCTAACCAATCAGTTCAAAATCTCTGAAATTTGTTATTTCAATAAAATGAAATCTTTCCTATTTACTACGCTGTTTCGGATCCTTCACTTCTGTCCTGGTATTTCTTGATAGTGCCACCCTCTACTCAAATGCTTTTGATTGAAACTGCTCAAACATTGAAAATAGAATTAATAGCAGACAGAACTAATTAGCCTCCAAAAAAAAGAAGCATTATTGTCGTTGATTTTGTTTCTTTCATCCAGTCCACAGAAGGCTTTAGGGGTGTAAGTTTCGACTGAACTTTTGTATTTTTAATAGTCAAAGACTATTCAAATTAGTTTTACTTTTAGTTTTCGTAATTAAGAAACGTACCCATCGCAGAATCGTTCTGATATTACATTTGCTTAGTCTTCAGTAAATTTGAAGTTCAAATGATTATTGTTCCTCTGAAAAAAGTTTAGTCTAAAAAAATGTCATACAAGGCCAATCCAAGTAGAAAGAAGAAAGAACTTCTCTTCAAATCTGTTTTTTTGGTCGGGAAATCCTTCCTGTGAATCGTATTTATATTATTTGTTGGAAAATACATCGAAAGAATTGACTGATTGAAAGCCTTTAGATTTTCAGAAATGTACCTGCTGTCTTAGAATGTTTAGCATTATGATTAAGCTGTTTGATTTTAAAAATACTGGCAGGTAAGAGGCTTGCTAAAGAAGTAAATAAGCTTGTAACTTGAATAAGTTCAACGTTATCTAATATTAACATTGTTGATAATGAAAAATATCCAAAAGGATGATTATTCCAGCTTTTCATTGAAAAATAGCCTTAGTTAAAATTTGCCTTATCATGCTTGGCAAGCCTTAATTCAACAACAATCAGCATATAGATATAAATAGAAGATATCTTTACCCTGAATCACACCATATGTTATAATGGTAAGGCCGAGCTAAAATCCATGGATTTCTCGTTAACTTCATGAGGTAAATCAAGACAAATATCACTACTAAATTCTTATAATACCATAAAAGACAAGTTGCTTGTTTGCGAGGACAGATATATAAGTACAATATTTAATGAGTAGTCATATTTAGATCTATCAATAGTTATCTTCTTTTCTGTGAGTAGGCAGTGAATTTGTTAATAACTACAATATATGACTACTCAATATAAGCGACCATCAAAAAGAATCAAGGATCTTTTTGGGAACTCACTTAGGATGAAATTAATTTGCATGAGGAACTTGCATTCTAAGACAGATGTCACTGTAACACAAATGAATCAATATTGAGTTAATATTTCTAGATAATAAGAAAAGTTAAAATAGCTATTTGATTAAAATTGTGAGATGATTTAATCACAATGATATATTGGCCAATACTTTTTGTCTAGTTAGTTGGTACAATTCTTATTGATTTTATAGTTCTTATCACTACGTCTTAAATGAATTCGAGCTCTTTCAATTCTTTGCTCTTGCTTTATTCTTTTCAGTATTAAATGTTTTGAACCGTTTATCAGTTGCTAGTTCATATAATACAATTTGTTAACTCTATGAACTTGCATCAATTTACGTTATAATTATTTCTGATTTAATTGCTGTAATATTTACGTTTACTTACCCTTACTAATTAGATCTTACATTGATTACAGTCTGAAAAAGAGCAATAACACTAAAGCAGTTGTGTAATTAGTTAAGGGAAAAAGCACCTAGTATTGATTGCTTAACTTCATTTCAACATTATCATATCCATCACACAAATGGTCAATATATTTTCTAAAAATGGGACTTTAAGTTTCTATGTGATTTGAGAATACTAAGGTTCTGCAAGAGAGCTTGTAAAGTGCTATCCATAATAAGCGAAAAATGCCTAAAATGCACTGTAGTTGCATAAAGGAATTGATACAAAAAGTGGCATTTAATGCTGTAATTAGTATTATCGTATATCAAATCAGGGAATCATTTCAAATCCATTTGGATGCTCATTACTTCCTTCTCCGTATTTTTCTCACCAGTGGTTCCATCTGACAACAGTTTCTTGAAAAATGATTTGCGGATAGTTACTGCGTGAATAAATTTCTATATTGATGAGACATTTTTTCTACAATCTTGAGACAGTTACAGTGTTGAGAGGTAGTCCGAAGATATGATTTTAAGGGATCGTTCCAAGACAAAAAGATATTATTTAATGTTTTGAAAAAAAAGCGAGTATGACGATAATGCACCTGTCTAATTTCCAAACCTCATGATGATTTTCGATGCAGTACAAAAACCTAAACTTTTCGTTCCGGATAAAAATACAGATTTATAACAAAAAGTAGTTGTAGGAGTTTGTCGGCAACAGAGCAAATACCCATTCAGCAACGTATTATTAATCGCTATCTGGCAAGCATGAAAATGGATGATGAGAACGGTTTTGCAGCGATAGCGCGATATGAACGAGAATGTTATGAACACTTGTTTGCATCATCGCATTATCATTTGACAACATTACCGGAACAACAAGGATTTGGATTTCCTGGAGCGAGAGGGTTTCAGAAAGGTACTGGAAGAATAGGAGCTGATTTTGATGCCGGGACAAGACTAGGCATGAATGCAGGAAAGCATACTCTATCTACCAATTTCATTGGACCATTAATGATAGAAGATCAAACAAAGATAGGTACTAGTCTAGAAAATAGCAATAATAATGACTGGCCAACACTATTGGCAGCATCCAATCAGTATTACGAAATATGGAATTGCGCCCCATTGTTGACCTGGAATTTCAATTTTAAAGAATAATATGTGGATTTCTTTTTTTTTTTGGGGGGGGGGTGAGAAGTAAGAAATGTTCATGACAGTTTCATCCATCTCTCTGTGACATTTCAATGGAAACTGCTTCCATGATATTTTGTTGAATTTATAAGAAGCATGTTCGAATATATACTTGTATATTTTCATATTATCATTATTATTAATATTGCTATTAGTTTACTTCCAAAAAGAAGCAAATATTTTCAAGCAAAAGATTCGACGTAAAAGGTTTGATTTGAAGAAAAAGTTTGGGGAAACTTGTTAATTTACATTTTCCAAGGACTTCGTCCAAAATGCATAAAAATTTTTCAATATTCCATTTGGTTTGAATATTTGATCCAGTTTCTCTAGATTTTAATTATTTTAGCTTGCAAAATACCTAGCACTTTCAGATCTCTTTTGGATCAAGAAGTTGGCCAAGTGGTTTTGTCTTTTATTGTCCTACCTTTCATGAAATACCCAAAAAAAATTAGCTTTATTTCTACCACAGTTATACCGGGTGTAAATATTAAATAATCGTAGAAGTTCCGATTATTTCACTAATCATTTTTCAATGATCAGGATCCAACGATAATGATTCCGTTCTCTATATCAGCATTTAAGTACGCTTATATATATGTTT